TTCAAAATGTCCTGTTCCAACAATGTTCCCTTAAAGAAGAGATGGTGGGAGCACCCTGTCATTTAAAGAAAAATTAACCACAGCTACACCCAGCCACTTGTCTTTCTCCCAAGTAGCCTTGATCATCCTGTAGGGATATGGATCCAATGCAGTGCTGACAGTCACAAGAAACCTTTCCAAATCCTCAGGCCCAATAAGATCAAAATCCTTGCAGATAATAGAGCTAGGCTCAGCTATTATCATCTCCAAAGGATTTGCTTCAAGGTCAGAATCTAACTTAGAATAGATCTGGTCAATTTTATCTGTCAAATGTCAAGTGAACCCAGACCCACTCCTTCCCAAAACAAGGGCTCTGGATGGCTATTTATGTATTCAGTAAGGGTGGAAAAATGCATTTTGTCTCCCTTACTGCTACAAGATAAGCACTTCATAGATCATGTTTGATCAGATCTAATCATTTACTGTGGGTATCTTCATTCCTACTTTATATCTCTTCATTCCTTCATAAATCAGGGGAAGTTCTGGGCCTGATCTAATCAAGAGTCAGGCTGTCCTCTCATTCTAGGACTTTGGTCAGACCATGAAAAGGTGTGTGATCAATCCAATTGGATTTGTTAGTCATATGGGTTGGATTGACCTAATAGGTCCAGCTCCTGCATGGAGTATCTGTGATCTGTAGGTTACCTAGAGAATGATGTTCGACCATGAGAGCAGAGAAACTACTAATTCACCCAAATCCAGATTATATCAGATTGATAGAAAAATCAATCGGGTGTACAATTGTTATGCATTGGACCTTAAATGATTTGGGAAATGACAAAGTTGTCATCATGGCCAGGAACTCACAAGCTATCTCTAATCCTCCATCAAGAATAGGCAAATTAAAGTCCCCAAGACCAGAAGCCTATCCAGAAAGTCATTGAGTTCAGATAGGGAGATTGCTACGCAGCAAGAAAGTTGATATACTATGTGCTCTTATAGGACCAAGAAATGGGGATAAATTGTTAAACAAGTAAGTTTAAACATAGTAGTAAGGTTATTGGAAATCTTAGTATATTTACTGGGATAAGCAGTTGTAGCTTCTATGGTGGTCTAAAATGACCTCCTGAGCAATTTATTTGGGAAATGGCATTATTTCAAGTCTAATGTTATTTTGTCAAGAAGCTTTGTGTGTGCATATATGATGCAATAGTAGACAAGACCAATAACATAGATCAGTCTGCCAACCCAAAGTTTTTCAGATGTGCTAGACGTCTGATCTTAGAACTGGCCAGTTCTGGAAATTGAAATCCAAAGTATTAGAAGGGTAATTATTTGAGGGAAGAACTAGACTGGGTTGATGAACTATGTCTGTGGGCACTTCAAATGGCAAATTTATTAATTCTCTTCACTTTTTACCATTTCTTTCTAAATTTGATTTCTAATAATGATTTCTCTCATCTAATCTAAGCAGTGAAACACAACCAAACTAGAGAATTTAGCATTCCCAATAAATCTTGCTACATCAATATCATTTAAACAATGTCTTTTCCCCTCAGATATGTTGCATTGAGTTAGTGTTAGTCAATATTAAGTCAGTGTTCCAGAGCAATAGATATTTTAATACAATTGTATAAATATGTAAAACTATTTAAAGGAAAGCAGTTATGTAATTGCAGGATTCACAGTATCTAAATCAGGGATAATCTGTTTTATGCCTGCTAGTTATTTTGAAGTGTAACTGCCATACTCCCTTGTTTTAATCACTTTAGCAGGCTTGATGCAAATACAAGTCTATCTGGAGACATCAGATCACTGATCTTTGAGCTAAATTAATTGCGTGTTTACAGAAGTGCTTGACTAACTTCATGAAAAATAAAATGGCCCACAGTGAAATAGTCACTAACTTTGATTCTTCTTTTATTGTTTCACAATTGAGGCAACGATTGAAGATGTTCATTGGGCTGGGTAGAGACAACTGTGCCTGAATAGGTTCTGAGATCGCAACAAATGGATAGCACACCTGTATGAATTAATAATAAAACAAAAGTCCTTATCTGAGGTCTACCTGCCTGACAGCCATTCTCTGCATTTGATATTTCATCCAAGTAACACGATACCTGAGATCAGCTGAATTTTTGGCTTTTATATTTTCCCCCATAGTAATAATTTTTGTTTTGAAAAAAAATAGCATCAGCAGCCATGAAATTATAGTACACTACAAAAACAGTACTGTAACTTAATAGTTGTATTTTTGAGTTTAGTATACAGTAGGTTTTTTTTCCCAACCTGATTGCCTCTGCAAATGGAAGGATTACAATTCTAACTATAGTATGGACTGGAAATTCTTGGGAGTTGTAGCTCTCACACATTAGATGAGAATTAGTTTGAGAATGGTTGAGAATTATAGGAAAACTAGAGTAAAGGTTTTAAATTTTCTTACATATAATTAAAATGCAGGGTGTTCTAGAGTTCCCTTCCTGTGTTACTGATGTGAAGGCCCCCATTGTCACGTGAAGGCTGTGTTGCTGCTCTGACATTAGGCTACCTTTATAAACAACTGCATTTTACTAATATCAGAGCCATAACACAGCCTCTATGAAATACAGTTTGTAAATATGGCCTAATGTTAGAGCAGCTGTTTATATCTAAGAGTTTCATATGGTCATGGTAGCTAGCTTTAGTGATATTTGATCATGCGGACTCTCTCCAGAGAAGAAGCCCCATCTTATAAAATAGAGTTGTTTTATAAATTATTGCACCAAGTAAGCAGAAGTAGAATGTTGCAGAAATTTTAGGCCTGGAATTCAAAAGCATGGTCCCATGCCTCTTTTAATGTAGTTAAGGACTGGTGCAGAAATAATATTTGCACAAGATTTGGTTCCTTTGATTCTGAGATCAATCATTCCTGATCTTTTGAATAAAAGTGAAAAGCTTTTATTGACTTAGAAAAAAATAGAATGCCTTATATGTGATGCAAATGTTGACTTGCTGCTGCTTATCTGATCCACCTTGTCTAGAAATGCTGAGTACTCTTTCAGTCCATTTGTTTATTCTCCCCTCCGTCCCACCCCCAGCGCCCTCAGACATCAAGTTTGGCTGGAACTACAGCATATTAAATTATGCTTGCATGTGTACTGAGCACTTTGCCTTGGTTTCTTCATAATTTACCATTCTAACTTTTAAACTGCATGCCTGTGTCTATATTTTTGTTTTATATACATGATGATAAATGGATCTGCTCTGTTGATTCCAAACTAGAGCTGCAGCTCTGTGCACATATAGTTTGGGAATATGAAATGAGAGATGGACTTTTAAAACATGGTGTTTAAGGTCTGGGCTAGTTAAAACACGGTGTTTAAGATCTGGGCTAGTTAATTCTCTCTCACCTGTCCCTAATCAGAAACTGCCCTAATGCATTAGAGTGTATCACGATTCTCAGCTAACTGAATCAGAGATTTATCAGCTGGGAAACATGGAAGTTATAGCCCAAAATATATGGAAACCACCTAGTTTTAAAAGTCTGAGGTACATTGATGTAGATGCAGGTAGTCTTTGACTTACGAGCAGTCGCTTACTGACTGTTCAAAGTTAAGATCTACCTGAAAAAGGGGACTTAAAATCCAAATCCAGAGTTCTGACAGTCACCCCTTGCCTTCCCAGCTACAGAACTCACTTTGGGTGTTTGGCAACACAGCCATATTTATGGCTGTTTGCAGCATTCTGTACTCACATTACTGTGTTTTACAATGGTTTTATTGAAAACCAGACCTCTGTTTTTTGGGAAAACCATACCCCTTGCGATCAAGGGGTTCACTTAACAAATACTGCAAAAAACTAAAATCAGGTCAATCACATGATGACCCATTTTATGACCGTTACAACTTACGACCACAATGGGTCAGCTGCATTATGGTTGTAAATCAAGGACTACCTGAACATAATGCTATCAGTATAAATTGCATTGGGGTAGATCACAAGTGGAAAACCTGCAGCCCAGGATCATATGTACCTAAGTCTTCTCTTTGCAGCTTTTGAGAACCTCTTGACCATGGCTGATACAAGCCAAGTGCATCGTTTCTGATCCTTTAGAAATGGGAAAGAAAATATTGTTGGGGAAGCCCTAAAACAAAACAAAAACCTAAAGGTTTGCTTGCTACATGCATAATGTGGCTTCACCTTCTTTGGCTCTGTTAACACACCCTCTCAAATGTTGATCTAGGTACTCAGCCACTAGAAAGCTGACTGTCCCTAATATCACCGATCTCTTCAGTAATTTTATTTGTACTTTCTCAAGCTACTCCAAAATATGTAAAGCAATCATTTTATTGCATGGAACAATAACTTTCAGTAAAATTAAAAAAAATTTTTCTCCAATCCGTGTCACCTAGTAGAGACAGTGGCCATAATCAAATGGCCACAATCACAAGACACTGGCCATAATCATGGCCAATGTGGGAACTTCAGTATCAGGTTTCCAAAGGCTGCTTAGAAGATAGACCAATAGTTTATATATATATAAATAGTTTATGTATATATGGCTTCAGCAAATCCATATTGATTTATTAGGTAGACCAGTATTATTTTTTTTACCTGAGTGAAAGAATACTTGCTTGAAGCCATCCGATGTGAGGCAAAGTGTGAGGTAAAATTATTTATAGCTACACTTCTTAACAACAATACAAACTAACATTGGCTTGTTTTGCTTTCATTTCTGTAAATGATGTCAGCATAATTTTTCCTTATCATTTGATGGCAAAAATGATAAGAAATTACATCAGCTTCATGTTGCTTCATGGCTGAGAAAGGGCCGGGTCCTTTCGGAGCTGGCACTAATGTGAACCAAATGTCCTCAAGAAATGTGTTGGAGACAGTGCTTTCCCCAAACGATGGCTTAGAAGCCTTTAATTCTCCTTGTAGAATGAAATGATTTAACTGAGATTCTTAGCAAAGCTTTCAGTCAGTTGCAATTTCTGGTGTCCCAAGACATTTTGTGTCTCTTTTCTGTCTCTGATCTCCAGGACTCTTTCCCCTGCAAAGTCCCCGTCATCATCGACTGGCTCCATTGCTTCCAGCAGAAAGTATCCATATCCCATGCCTCCACTGCCTGATGAGGAGAAGAAGGCCCACAGAGCTAGTGCCAGGGTATGCTTGACTTTTACTTTGGTTTTGGAAGAGCTATCTGTTTGGGCATAGGTAAGAGGTCTTTGGTCTATGATTGGGCTGAAATTGAAACATGGATCAGCTGAGTATTTTAAAAATAAAAAAGCAGGAATGGGCAAGCAAAGGTCTACAGTCACTGCAGTCCTCTAGAGAACATTAGAATATTAGAACATCAGGCACTTAATTCTAGAAATAGGACTACTCCATTCCTGTTGATGCAAAGAGTGAGATCAATAAGAGAAGATGGCTCTGACCCACTGCGTTTCTTAGCCCTCCCCACCATTGGCAACATCTTTTTACAGGCATATTTGGGAGTACTGCCAAACAAGAAAGAAAAAAATTACCGTAAATCCCATTTCTTAGAAACCTTTTTTTGTGCTGCATTACCATCTTTCTGGAAAGTGGCAGGGGTTGCAATTTCACTGTCCTGAAAACTATCAAACTGCTGCAGGCTTTCCTATTGCATAAGGAACAGATAGAAACTACTGTCCTACAATTATGCATTCTCTCTTTTTTTTTTACAGCTATGGGAGACATCCATTTAAGTATTTAGCTTTCACCTGAGCTGTCACCAGAACAATTTACTTCAAATTTTATATAAATTCAGCATCACTGAATCACTGAACATTCATCTGCTCAGCAGACAACTTGATAGAACAAAGATACAAGTAGTCACAGGATAAGCGAGTTCTCCCATTGAAGGAAGACACTGAATTTTCTACAGTTGATTAAAATTTTGTGAATTACAAATAAAGATATTAACCTGGTATAGACAGAGCTGAACATGCTAAGATACTGTGCATGATGTCAGATATTATATAGACATTCAGATACTGCTTTTGAAGTCCCAATGGTGTTTTTTTCTCCTGGTCTAACATGTCCCCAAATATCTAAAAGAGAGTGATTCAGAATTTGGTACATAATCATTTATGCTGTGTGCATGAACCTCTGTTTGCCACTATCCATATGTAAGGGATTACTCATTTTACTGTAGTAGAGTTAGCATGCAGGAATAAGATGTTTTTTTTTTCCACAGCTCGGTTCTAAAAAGACAAAATATTTTGACAACAGCTTCAATAAGAAAACAGTGATTTTTTTTTAACCTGTTACAATTACATTCTCAGCAAAAAGCTATCTGCAGACAGTTGTGAAATATGAATACTGTAGTTAGGTTTTTGCCTGAAGAGCGTGCTACAAAACTTAGGAGTCAAGTTAGATATTTCATGGAAGGTTCATGAATATAGCTTAGCTGCATGCAAAGGTCTCAGGTTCAATTTCATCTGCCAATAGGTACAGAATAATTTGTTGAAAAACCAGGAAAGCATTAACACCCTCTGTTAATAATAGTGAGATAGATGGACCAATAGCCTAGTTGGATATAAGGTATGTATGATATCTGGCATTAAAAAAACATAGCACTGCAGGAGGAAAAGTTGGCAATTACATTTTTTTTCTCAAAACTGGTTTCCTATCAAAATTATCCAGCCCTTCTATCTCATTCGTCTAAGTGCCATTCTAAATTAAACTTTGCCTCATGTTCCAGGAAGAACTAGCATGAAGGATCTAGAATGTCTCTAAAATTTTGAGAACACAGTTTTTCCCCCCCTCTTCCTATTAAAATCAATTGAATTAAATCTTGATTCAAATACAACCCATTTTTTTTATCTATTTGAAGAATCAGCCATTAATGTGAAGTTGGTCAAAATGTTGTATCTGCTGTACATATTAAATACCTACTTTTTAAAATCTACACATCTTAACCACCAGTTCAGTTTAACTTTTTAACCAAGTAATCATATAATACTGTGTAAGCTTGTACAAGTATTGGCAAATAAGAAATGTTCAAGTGCTTGACTGAATGACCAGAGACCATTCATCTGTGTACAGTTGTATAATAATATGCTTTTCTGCTGGAATGACTGGAGGATTCTCATAATTTCTATTTGGATAGGATAAAGGAGAATAATATACAATAGGAGTCATCAGAATGCAACATTTTTGTGAAGCTCCTACAAACTAAGCATTGTGGGAGGTTATTAGTTTTTCATAGAAGAATGATTATCCTCGCTGTAGGAGTTTCAGATAATATGAGACATACAATATAAAAAGACAAAAATAGTCGAAGTCGTATACAGAAAAAGATTTTTGAATATCCCAAGCAGGATTTCAAAGCCCTCTTGCTAATTTCACATCCAAATTATGGTGAGTTAAAATAATTATGATTGTCCCTATGTCTTTGATATGGAGTTCTTTTCACCAGCTGCTTATAAGCAAGATTTAGATATGAAGTTTTGGGATAATAGAATTCGTAACACATGTATGTTGGATCTGAGCATTATTTAGCACATTCTATTATGGAGGAGATTTGGAGAAAATAATTGCCTTATCATGCCATAATGGAAGGACAATATTGGATGAAATTGCATGGACAGGATCTAAGGGGTCTGCCTAAGGGTCCTTGCAAAATCATGACATTAAAAGGATTCTTAGGCATTTAATATAATTTAATATTTGACAGTATTTGGATAGGAATGTCATTTGTTTTTCTGAATCTTCTACCTCTTTCACATAATTCTTTCTGTATGTGAAGTGCCATATATGGCCTTCTGTCATGTAACTGGACTTACTGTAGGAAATTACACTTTTTGACAATGTCAGTTCTACAACGAGAAAAGGTTCTATTCTAAAGATACCTTCAACTGTAAATTATGTAAAACTTTAAAGGTATTATATTTATACAACTTTGCCAGTTATATTTGTACAAAACTGGCTTTGCAGTCATAGCAGTCTCTAGAAAGTGGCATAAGGTTTTGGTAAGTATTTTGATTTGTACTAAATAGGAACAAAAATGCATAAAGGAAATTCATGCATAAGAGAATGTCTAACAGATTATAAAAGAATATATATAAATGTTTAATTTTGCAGATATAAAGTATGAGGCAGGGACTTGAAGGATGACTGCTGAGTTAGGCCCGGTGAAATTTACTTACCATTATAAGTCTTTTTCTTTAGTTTCATTGACTGCGCTCTCTTCCCGGTCAAAGGCAAAAGGCTCTCCTGACAAGTCAAAGGAAAGCTGTAGTAGAGATCATCTTCCCCGTCACTTTTTGTTCTTGCTAATTTTTAGAAGTTTAACATGTGCCTTTTTGGATCTTTGGCTTGATGTAAGTCCATGTGTTATTAGAAAATGGCATTGTTGCTGTCTTCCATTTAAATTACTAAGAAAAAGGAAGTGGGTTTTTTCCTTCCCTTTTCCTTTTCAGACAGAACTGAATGTAATGTGAGAACTCAGATGATTGTAGATTGTTCACCAAGAAAATAATAATCCTCTGCAGTTAATTTGTGGGCATTGTCATTGACCATGGCTAACATTTGTTAATACTTAATAATTTTAATGTAAAATGAAATATAATTTTAATAAACTGGCATTTATTTCTATGGTCTAGTGCAGGATTTCTCTGCTTACAAGCTTGAGTTGTCTTGGTGTATAAAAAAAATGATGGATGCCAATCGGCAAAAGTGTCAGTAAATCCAAGACAATGAAAGTTGGCAAATGGATTTTGAGTTCCAAGCTACTGTCCAGATAAAATGTTAGGATGGATGTTTCTTCTAATTCCTCCTTACTTCTATTGCTGGTGTATTTTAAGTTTTGTGTTTATGAAAAAAGCATAGCTACCTTCAAGATTTTCACTTGCTGTGTTTCAAAACATAAAAGTTCAATAATGGCTGGTTCCACCGAATGGGTTGTATCCAAGGTGTAATGCCAAGAGAAAAAAAATGCAGGGTAGTTAATCTGCTAACAGTGACATGATGTACCACAAGTGTACCTGAAATAACTGCCACAAACATTATTTAACAACAAAATTATAACAAGTGCTGGATTTTACACAAGCAGTAGATGCTTTGTGCTATCAGATCACTGGCTACAACCCATTGTTCTTTTTTCATAAACAAAACTCTTGGTCATGAAAATTTAATGCCTTTTCCTTTCACCTTTTTAAATAATTAATATCTTGGTATGATGTGGTTGATAAGTATTTCATCAGTTTTCAACTTTGTTTCGCTGTATAACCAAGGAAATGTGTAGATAAAAGAAATAAGAACATTGTTTCAATAATTGCTTCCAAACTATAGTTGTGTGTTAGTAGTTCTATAGCAAGGTAACAGTACAGAATGGTTTTAATCAAAGAAAAAACAACAGAATAGATTATCTGGGAATAAGTGTGAATTATGGAGTTATCAGGAAATAATATGTTTTAAATCATCCCAAAGGTATTTTTTTCAAGAAGCAGTTGCCTCTTGAAAGAGCACATTTGGGACAAACAAAACCTGGATGACTGAGAATCCCCATAGATATCTTTTTTAAAGGATATTTTGGCACAATTTACTTGAACAATCAAAGCAGTCATAAAGAAATAGATTTCAACTATCATAATTCCTAGTCGGTATACGCATGATGATGTTGAAGTTGGTATAATTTGTAAGTGTCAATTGAAACTAATACTCAAAATGACCATTAATACCTGGGAAATCAATCCATTACAACTAGACCTCAAAATAAATCAGTTTCAAGTAAAAAAAAATGCTGAATATAAAAAAACTTTCAGAGCTTTATAATTGGATTTCTGTCCTCATAACTTTGCTTAAAAACAAAAACAGGATCACTTTTTCATTTTATCTAAAATATTGTCTTACTTTCAAAGTGAATTTTGCAGGTGTTTATAATAGCTACTAATTATTTTTGTGCTATTTAGAAGGCATCAGCAATTCCACATGATGTGTAAACCTGGTTTAAAATGACTTTATTTGATAGCATTTACAGTAATTTATTAATTTTTGGAGTCTCTCACCAGGTTTGCTAAGTATATCAGTCTTTAACCTTATAAAACAATTTGTTCTAATCTGCAGTTTGAATGAAACAAAGCTTTTGTAAAACTTATTTTGAAATCCAAAAAGAAATCTAACATAAGCTATTTGAAAGTAAAAAAAAAAATAGATTAATAATGTAAGTAGGAAGCATTACACAAACAAGAAAACAGGCTAGTATGGGACAATCTTCCCTACATCATTTTGACAATCAGGCAGGAGAAGATGGCACAGTGGAATTTAACAAATAGATTTGTAAATCTTATTTAAATTACAAGTGTGAAAATTAAAATAAAATATCCCTCTGGTCTTTATAAATTAGAAAAATGGCCATAGAAGTATTTTTTTAAAGCCTTAGAGGCCTTATGACCTTACATATTCAAATTTTTGAAGATATATTTTTTACGAACTATTTGGAAACACTTGTAAATATGCTTTACTGCCCTTTGGATGCTTAGTGGTGCTAAGTAATAACTGTAAAATATCACAGTTGTAATTCTGCAAATCCTATGGTATCACATATCTTACTATGATACAATAATGCTGACTTGCCTAAATATTGAGAATATATATGTACTAGGGCATATGGTCTGGTGCTTATTAAACTATAAATCTTTAAACAAAAATGTACCACTGAGTTATCTGGACACTGCTCACCATTCTAACATTATGTGGAAGTGTGCTGGCAATTTTATTTTAATTTTTAACTATTAATTGTTGTGATTTTTTTCAATATAATTACCATATTGTAAATCTGTCATTAAAGCATTGTCAACATAAATACTTCAACATAGTTGGTGAAAAATATAGAAATTGGATTATTGATGTAGTGTTTTTGTGTTGGTTACATAGTTCAAATAATTAAAATTATCCCATGTGTAAAAAGCTGTATTTACCACTGGATATTGTTTCTATAATAGCAACTAAACATGTGTTTCTTGAAACATTAAATTTTGTCAATTCCAATGAAAAATTCTCTTTTTATCACTGCAGTGCTGAACAATTTTGTTGTTGTGAGTATCAAAATTCATAAAGCCAGCTTTCCTGTTACTGGACAAAATAATCTTTTTAATAAAGTTATAACCTGGAGATATCAAAACTTGCATATTTCAATCACCATAAACTATTAAAATATTTAATGCAAAGTAATTACATTGTTAGTAATGTATTATTATGACAATAAAAGAATGAGTTTCAAATCATGGCAACTTACTTTAAAATGTTTAATTATTATGTTATTTATCAGACTATTATTTTTAAGGTTTGCAGACTGATAAAATCCTGTCAATTCTCTAATATCCAGAATGGATTCACTACTAAAAAAAGGATCTCAAGGCTCTTTAAAAAAATTAAAAAATCCAGGGGTGCTTCGCAAGACATAAGGGAGAGCTGAAAGAAGACCACTACTGATATGTCTAATTAGATACTTTTCAGAATATGTTGTATTATAAATCTGAAAAAGGTGAACCAATGGGCCTGGAAGAATTAAATTATAAACAAAAATTATAGCATTGGGCATTTTAATTTACAAAATATAGAAAAGGAATATCCTCAAGGTAGCACTATTTAGCTTACCTTATAATTTCCAAATAATAAAGGTAAGAATTTAGATGGATGATCACCTGTAGTCTAGTGATAATATTAAAGGTAATCTCTTATGTATTGTTCCTAAAAAACTGAAAGGACATAGAAATATACTCTCTTGATGCAGAAGGAACATAGCAGATGACATAGCCTAAAGGTAAATCCACTAGTTTGCCTATTGGCAAATGGATGTTCCATGACTTGCTGTGCCTTCTATGGCAGCACTATTGTAAATCTGTCAACCAATCTCCAAAGATTAAAAATTCCTATTAAAAACTATGGATAATTACCATTGCTACTAATACATAATGCTGTATGTTTTTTTCCAGTTCAAATGCTAATACTCAATACCTTATTGAAACTACCCCAAATAACACTTAAATTGCTATAAATGTACAACTACTAATGAAGCTACATCCAGAATGTTACAAAAAGTTATATGCAGCCCCGACCAACTAATTCTTCTTTTATTTTATATATAAGTCTGGAAAGGATGCATCATTCCAATTTAATATACAGCCTGGGAACAAAGAAGCTAGCAGCTCCACAAATAAGGAAATAGGAAGAGCTTTCGCTGCATGAACTATGTGGGAGTAGTTAACAAAACATAAGTCCAACAGCTTGTCAAAAAGTTCCTTGAAAATGCACTCTATAAAGTAGATATTCAAACAAATTCATGTTTTTTCCAATTGTAGATGAGAAACATCTAGAATTCTGACAGATTAGAAATACTCAGGGTGGGAATAAATGACTACATGTAGTCCTTGAGTTATAACCACAATTGAGTCAAAATTTATGTTGCTAAGCGAGACATTTGTTAAGTGAGTTTTGTCCCATTTTACGAATTTTCTTGCCACAGTTGTTAAGTGAATCACTTAAGTTAGTAAGATGATTTGTTAAGTGAACCCGGCTTCCCCATTGACTTTGCTTGTCAGAAGGTCACAAAAGCTGATCACATGACTCAGGGACACAAGGCAACTGCCATATAAACCAGTTGCCAAGCATCTGAATTTTGATCATGTGACCATAGGGATGCTGCAACAGTAATAAGGGAGAAAAACATGACCTTTGTAACTTTGTATGCCATTGTAATTTTGAAGGGTCACTAAATGAACCTGTACAAATGTATCTGTACAAATTGTAGTTTCAAAGTGGTTCTTTGTAAAAAATCAAACCTGTTATACTTGGTCACCTATCAATCCTTCTCTTATTGGGAAAAGTTGAAGGGAATAATTTAAAGAATTTTTCTATTGTAATAATCTTCTACAATTACTCTAGAGTGTGTTCATTATAAAACAAAAATATTCTTTATAATCAATACGCTGTAAACTTTTAGTCTATATTATGCTTTATGGTGCCATTCAATGCATATATAACCAAATATGTAAGCGAGAGCCTTTGGTAAAGCATTTGTTTATTTAAAACAAAAGATGCGTTCTGCAAGAGACACAACATGAAAGTTGTGTTTATTTGGAGGATGGGAAAAATATCTCTCTAGAGAAAAAATAATGTAGCCAAAATTCTGGTCAACTGCCACTGAAATTAATGATTTGTGTTATCAACTTTAGTACACGTAGATGGGGGACATGTGTTTTAAAAAATAATGAAATGTAGGCAATTATTCTCTTCCCGATCCCAATAATATTCCTCGCATGCAGATATGTGATATAGCAGTAGCAGAGTCACAGTAGTGAGATGAAAAACCATATAAATGGTTAAAATAAAAAAAATAAACTAAAATGGTAAATGTAATTAAATCAGCTACCAATTGGGCAGTTTCTATGAAATAAACACCAGAGCAAAATATTAAGACAGCCAACTGAACACTTAGAAAAATGTTTTGCCTACTGCGGAGAAAGTGACAAACTTTTAGTTTATTCTGAGTTTTTAAAAAAACTTCCTAGAAATAAACCTGCATGACATTTTATGAATTCATTTCAATACATTCCTATTTTAACTTCCAATGTGATCAATTTTAAATGATACAGAAACATTAAATGTAAACATGAATAATTTGTTTCCTTTTCTCCTCATGCAAATTATAAATATATAAAGCAGATCCACTCAAACAACATTTATTGTATTTCCTTCTTTCATTAGTTACAAAAACTATAAAAGCATATTGATTAATATTTATAAAATATGCAAATATCACAATTTAGTTACATAGCATATTTGTTTGACGCAAAGCAAAGTGATATGGAATGTAGATCCATGCTCATCTGTCTGTCTTCATTCTGAGTTAGATGCTCATGACACACTGAACGAACTGCGAAAGAAACTGTGTATCAGGTATAGTTTGTTATCACAATATTTTTTATGCAATTATGCATTGCAAGATTGCTGTAATACAGAGATAGGGAAGCCTGTGGACCTTCAGCAGTTGGGCCTCGTTCCTAAAAACTGTAATGCCTGATGAGAATTGAAAATTAGCATCTAGACTTCAACAGTAGGCCATTACAATTACATCGACAACTTCTCATTCATGTTTAATATTTTAAATCATTTAAAAACAACTGGGAAGTATTATGGCTATCATTTAATGGTGTGGCCAATGCAGTGGCACTTTCAAGTACCATCTTGCAAATTCTTGATTTGAAAAGCCACAGGAGCATTATCTAATGGTTCTCAATTCTTGCCAAGAAAGACTGAAGTTCTTTAAGATACTGATCTATACTGCCTGACAGCTTATACTTCTTTTAATCACTTTGCTAACTACTGGAAATATACGTGGCATTTTGGAGCAGTGAGGGAGCAAGTTAGGACTTCAGTAAGAAGACTCATAGACTAGCATCCAGTATGAATCTAGTGCGATCCAGCACATGACATGAGACAGTCTATTGGAAAATGTCTGACACTAAACTTGAGTAGCACATGTAGCCTAATGATATATGCTTTGTATACAAAAAATATTATGTTCAACTGATAGCGTTCCCAAGTAAGGCTGGAAAGGAATTGCCTAAAATCCAATATTCAAAAGCTACCAATATATTGGACTGCTGCTAGCTATATACTACTGTGTTTCTCTGAAAATAAGACCCAGTCTTATTTTTTTGCCTCCTAAAGAGACCAAGTCTTATTTTCGGGTGGTGTTTTTACCACTCACTGCACGGTGGCTTGATTCTCGGCTGCAGAGGCCTTCTGAAAAGGTCTCTGACTGTGAAATACAGGTTGAGGGACACTGCAGAAGAAGTGGTACGGTGAAAAGAGGCAGGTATCAATTCATGAGAGACCTGTTAAGTAAGTGCCGGGTACCTAAAGCGGCTCCCCCCCCAACCCCACCCTAGCTTATATTTGGGCATGCTCCTTGCCCCAAGACTAGGGCTTATTTTGGGGGTAGAGCTTATATTAGGCCCACTCCCCAAAATCAAGGTAGGGCTTATTTGGGGGGGGTAGGTCTTACTTTTGGGGAAACACAGTAGTTACTTCTATTCTGGCCCTCCAATCATATTGACATCTGCTCCTAGAATTCTCACCAATTGCCATCAGAATTCTGGGAAGTAAAATACACACATATGGACGATGTACCAATTTGGGAAAAATTGGTGCAGGATAGAATGGACATTTTAGGACCATTGGCCATATCTGGCTCTTTGTTTATTCAGACAAGCAGCAGGATGGACAGTCTTCCACAATAGTCCCAGTTTCTCATGTGGCTTCTTGGGAAAATTTATTGCCCACTTCTGGTATAGGCAATACAGTGTTAGGCTGATCATATTAAGATACAGCTTTCACTGTTGCTACATAACAGACTTATGATCCTCAAAGGCCGTCCATTATCTGAGAATAGCTTCTAATGAAGGCAAGGGCACAGCTATAAAATTTTATAAAAAGTCCAGTGGAAGAAGGGATAATTACCATGAAAACAAATTTCAACAACTGATACTGAAATCACTGTTCACGACACTTAAGGAAAAGCATATTTCACATCTCTAGCTGGAAAGACTAATTTAAAACCACTTACATCATCATATTGGAAATTCACCATCCCTTGCTGGGCTGCATCCCTTCTTCGAAAACTATCTGTAAAGAAATAAAATAAAATAAAATAAAATGAATCAGATGGCAAATCACATGTTAGGAGAAGAAAATAGTCTATTATAACTGTCAGTTTCAGAAAAACTAACTAAAAACTGACAAACACAAGAAATTATTTTTGAACAATGATCTACTGATTAATTTAGGTCCAAGGATTAAAATACTAATACACTTTGGAAATCCACAAGTTCTAATCCTTTATCAATCAAAGTGCAGAGATTTCTCTTTCCTACATTTAGTGCTGTTAAAAAAATGTATCAATATGATTTAACCTGGAAGAAAGATTCAGAAATAGAATACTTGAAATGCTGGAACATTTTCTATGTCATAGACAAAAACAGTTTGGAATAAAATTATTAGGACTAGATCTAATGGATTTAAGCTATTATGAGATTAAAGTTCAACTGAACCTCAAGTAAAATATTAACGATGATGGGCTAGCCATCCAGAAAGATCTTCATCCAATGGTTAAAAGGCCTTCTGTTGAAGATAGTTTAAATCCGTTTCCTAACATAAACAGATAGACTGGACGGCTTACACAGACCATTCCATCAACTTTGTGTTTCAGAAAAAAAAACAAAAAACTTGACTTGATAAAAAGAGAAATTAAAAATCAGTCAAGCCCAGTAATTGTTGTGAAATTAATCATACCAGTAAGAGCTCTGAGTTTTACACAGCAGGCTATATAATCATCAAAACTGATCTTTCCACGACAGCTGTATCGTTTCACAATTCCATTGATGGCCTGTGGACTCAATCTAAATCCTAAATAAATAAAAGACACAAAAGAAAGCAAACATGTTGAATATCCTATATCAGAAATATCCTTTATTGGGTAATGTATATTCAGGTAGGACAATTGCAAGATGACTCTTAAAAAGTGAGATGGACAGGTGCTTTACTGCAAAACAGAACACCAATCTTTAGCATCAGTTTTATTCCAAATAATGTTTCTAGGAGTCTGGGGAAAAACAGGAAGTCCTGCAAAATGAGATAATGGAAGCATAATTGATAACAACCTTTACCAGAAAAAAAAGGAAACCTCCAAGGAAACCAAGTGGATATATAGAGCTTTTAAAATGCTAAAAGGAAATGGAATCATGGACAGCCCCCAAAAGAATAACAACACTTAGGAGGAAGGAATATAGATTTGTGATAAAATAGGCAGGCCATAGTTCTTGCTAGAATTATACCAGCTTAATAGATTTATGGATCATGGCAAGTGCTATTCCTATTTAGCTCTGTCTTGGTCAATCCCCTCCTGGAATATTATATTCAGTCCAAAAGGGCTACTAACAACTTGGAATTCAGAGAATAATGTCCACGATAACAGAGAGCAAAAAACTGATGATTAATGGTTAAGGTAACTGAGACTATGTTACTTGTAGAGCAGAAGATTGAGGGGAGGTATAGTAACAGTTTCTATTAATCTCCACTGAGTTTTACAAGGACTAGACTAGATCAATCTTGCCTAGTCTGAACACAACTGGAGAATTCTGGGAGTTGAAGTCTTGAGAAATCAAAAGACTTTTAGGTTAAGGAAGATTCGGGGTTCTTCTGTAGGTTTTTCCTGTGGCCATTAACCCTAGCCAGAGAAAAGTTCTACAACTCACCCATGGATAACAATGCTTTTTGCAGTTCCTGAGAATCAACTGTACCACTGCGGTCACCATCCACGCTCATAAAATGTTGCCTCCAGCCATTCAGTACAGCCCAAAGTTCTTTAAATTCATTGAAGCCCATTGTGCCAGACATATCTCTCTGGATTATTGTTAAGGATCAAACCATACTAATAGTAAAATATTCTTTATTGTTCACAGGATTGCAGCTCTGATATCAAGCGTAGATGATCACTCAGGACTTACTTTTTAACTGAAAAATTATTGAATTCAACTGCAATTCTATGCACATTTTGGAGCAAAACCTTATTCATATATATAAATAAAAGGATATCACAGAAAAGTTTTAATAGAAAGATATGTAATAGCTAAATTACAAAAGTGTATGCAGAATCTACTCAATTAGCAATGAAACATTGATTTCAAACAATTTCAACACAACACAATCACATTGGCTACCCCATAGATAAAAACTTACACAGAAAGAAAAGTTTCTTTATTAAAATATGCATCTGCTATGGACAATTTTACCTGGTGTGGATTTCATACCATAAATTATAAAATGGTCAGAATAACAGAATAACAGAGTTGGAAGGGAAATCTTCTAGTCGAACTCCATCCTCACGCAGGAAACCCTATATCATTTCAGACAAACAGTTGTCCAATCTCTTCTTAAAAACCTCCTGTGTTGGATCACTCACAACTTCTAGAGGCAAGTCTTTCTACTAATTAATTGTTCTAATTGTCAGAAAAAAAGATCAAAACATTCTACATAAAAGCTAAACGTGATTTTAGCTGCCAAAGTACTCTCCATTATCTGAAAGCATTTCTCGCAACCCCCAAATGTAGTAAAAATCATAGCCAGACAAATGAAGGATACATCAAGCATGGAAATCATGAGTCTGCAAGTTTCTAAATTAAAGGCTGTTTTTAAAAAAGAGAACAAATAAGTAATGCACGTCACTAATTAATTAATGTGTATTATTTGTCTCTGCAATACTAAGAAAATAATTTTTAAGACAGAGCAATACTATAAACATTTTCCTATAATGCTATGAAATTTCCACTGATTCAAATAGAAGTAAAAGTTACTTAATCAAAGTACTTTATCAAATTGAACTTGATGACTAATGATTATATGGATATGTCCATGTTATTTTCACAACAACATGTGGTAGTGGTTTACTGCTGTTTTCTTCCAAAATGCTTTTTTAACTTGCTAGTCTACTCTATTAACCTGAACTTCCCTGTTGTATTTCGATCAAAGTTATTAGTCAGATCTGGCCAAGTCAAGGCAATGAGTTGTGATCTACAAACCCCATAATGCTAGACCACTGCCAAGGTGAATGGGGCATGTGGGAATTCAAGTAATCTTTGACTTATCATTCAATTCAAGGATTCTAGTCCATGAAAATTTACACCACAGAGGAAGTCTTAAACACAGCATAGAAATGTTCATTTGTCAAACTTACGTTTATAGGTACCAGCAATTCCGGACTGAGTCAGACATTTTTGTAGCTCATCGGCATCTATTTGCCCATCCTTTGAAAACACAAACAATGTCAATCCAGCTTTATTTAATAATAATAATAATGATAATAATAATAATAATAATAATAATAAAGTTGGAAGGGACCTTGGAGGTCATCTAATCCAACCCCCTGCTCAGGCAGGAAACCCTATACCATTTCAGACAAATGGCTGTTCAGTTTCTTCTTAAAAACTTCCAGTGTTGGAGCATTCACCACTTTTGGAGGCAGGTTGTTCCACTGGTTAATTGTTCTAACTGTCAGGAAGTTTCTCCTTAGTTCTAGGTTGCTTATGATTTGCGTAATAGCCAATGCCCCAAACATTTCTCCTTTCCCCAAGAAGATAGCAGGTATTATGGGATCAAAGACATGAGCAGACTGTGACATATGAATGGGGACACTCATATACTTGGGCATATAAGAACCAACAATGTTCTCTATGTCCTGGGAAAAAAAATCTCTGATCCTTGGTTGCAACAATTGTTTATACAATTCTTTTAATTCTTTTTTCAATGCAACCTTAACAAGTGTAAATTATTGCTTTCCACCCCAATGAATGGTGGAATGTAGCTGTGAAGATATGCCCACTGAAGAAAAAGTATGCAAAATTAATCCGTTGGTGATGAAATAAAGGAAGGAAGACAATACTTCAAAAAAAAAGCTATGTTGTATATTATTTAATCCATTTTTATACTTTGCAGAAGACACATTGTATATTTTGACTAAAAAAAATAAGAGACATTACATAACTAATTAAAAAAATTAACTAACAACATATATCTGGATCAGCAATCTTGTACCAGTAAGGTAGAAAATCATACCTGCCCAGCTACTGCAGCAAAATAACCATATAATGGATCTTGAGCCTGACCAGGAAATGCTGGTCCACCTGGAGCACTTCCATACTAAAAATGAAATAAAATACTAACCTAAATTGCAAATAACCAAAACCCAGGAATATTTAAGAAGCATTTCATACTAATATAGTTTCAATAGACTGGCAGTCTTTTATATCTGACTGCAATGTGCCTACAAATATTTTACATTATCTAGACAAGGGCCAACTTAATCCATCAGAATGCAGAATACCAGGAAGGGACTATGGAGGTCTTTTAGTCCACCTCCTTGCTGAAGCCTATATCATTCCAGACAAAAGACTGTCCAATCTCTTCTTTAGAACCTCTAATGATGGAACACCCTCAATTTCTAAAGCAATCCACGTTCTGGAGGCAATCCATGTTTCCTTTGGTACTTGATATAGACAAGGAAGGAGATTAATTGATGGGTCAAACCAGTAAAAGGGGTAATATTTCAGGTACACGGTATAAAATTATTACTTAAGGGACATACCCTGAACAATCATAGGAATTTGGACAAAGTACAGTCATAAGGCAGCTAAGGAGATATTGGAAGTGGCAGAAGATTCACTCCACTGCCAGAGCACTATTCTACTTCTCTCTCCAAGAGAAATTGCCAATAATAGAAAATTCTGTACACGTATGTGATATCCCGTCACTTAGTCCCAAACAGAATAATTCATTCATATATAAGATGCAGTCTTAAACCAGTATATTCCCAAGCCTCTCATTTCTGTAACAAATGCAGAGATTTTGTAATTGGAAAACTGAAAGGCACAGATTAGGCCAGGGGTATCAAACTGCCAGCCCGCAGGCTGAATGCATCATGTGGAGGCTGCGCCCACCCCAACTCCGGCAATGGGAAAAAAGTCACAATACATCACGACACGTCATGTGACGCAGCGAGTTTGACACTCCTGGATTAGGCCTTTCAGTTACACGAATCTTGAGATAAAAAAAAAAAATCTTTTGCATCAGAAGGGGAAAAAGTCAGAGGACCAGAATTCAAGAGAAAAACACTTGGCTGGTTTTAGGAAATGTCAGCTGTGGTGTCTGTAGTATCATACTTTAAGGTTACTCAGTTACTGGCAGTTCATTACACTCAGTTTGTTTTGTTTTAATAATGCTTTGTTGAAATAGCCATAGTGCTGGCTTCATACCATATATTAAATTGTGACCATGATTTTGCAAACCAAAATTAGGTTCTCTCATCACACTAAGCCAAAAGCAAGCAAACCATCATAGTTTAGTACAATAGGTAAAGAGAAACAAAAATTCAAATGACTGTTGGCTGCAACCCAAGTACCTTTTCGTTGTAATAAACTAGAATTATCCAGAAACAAAATCTCTTAGCAGAACTATTTGTTTTATACAAGGAAATGCCTTCTTTGTTTAGCAAATCTATTCATTACGAATGTTGCAAAGTTCATAAGTTCACAAGTTGGTGAAAGGAAATAGGTAGGCATTTACAAATTCATTGAAATATTTAATACGCATACGCATAATGAAATATTTAAAAAACACACCTAACGTTCATGCTGGTATTTATTGGTGAAAAGAGGAAGATTGCCAGCAATTGCTGACAGCGTCTATGCCTGTATGAAGTCATAAGAAGACAGATCATGTGCAACATTCATATTGAAAGTAGATTTTATAGAGTACAGTAAGACAGAATTCAGCCTTACATGTTTGCCCAAGATTCATTTAAGAAATTATAGGGGTAGGTTTAATATGGATATATTTGTATTTAATTTAACTATAATTTTCTTCTTATTGAAAAATTAAAAGCTCCCTGGCTATATTTTCTGTAATACAATTTGTATGGTTTTGGCTGTGGAGGGCACAATTGGCAATCAAGTATTTCCAAAAGGCAGCAGTGATGAAGCATGGTGGTTAAATAAACTTTTGTTCTGATATGCATTTCAATTTTCATGCAGGAAAAAAGCTACAGAAAATGGATTACCAAAGTAAACTCTAAATGTGGAGGTTTAATGGCTCTCTGAATTTTTGATAGTAGATTGGGTAGTCCTAAAGGAAACACTAAAAAAACAATAACTACCGTATATGTATTCAATGTTTTTTGCTGCCTCTTTTCATGTACTCCTAAGTGATATATTATCACACATATAATGTTTTAGAACCACACATTAAATGCAGGCCTCATTTCTCCTGTCTCCCCAAAAGCATCAGTGTTATTGATAAATTAGTCCATTAAAGAATCAAATTAGATCAGGAACACTAAAAGTCCCCTTGAAGCTGACTGGGTCTTAAACAAGATCTTGTAATTCAAATTCAACGTCTACAGAATTACTAGTTACTAGAAGATTAATATAGGGAGGGAAGTATGACATGGTTCATTGTGTTAATCTTTTCCAGGAAAGGATATTTACACCATAAAAGAGAAAGTTGGTGCAGCCCAAGTGTGAAACAAAAGTTCAACTGGGCAAGCAGAGATACCTTGGGTTTTTTATATCTAATTAATTTTTTTATTTAAATGATTTTTCTCTGTAAAGCAACCCTATATAATATTGTCAGAACTGGGCTGACCTGAGGATTGACATCTGATTAGCACTGAGTGCCTACATAAACTCTCTTTCAAACATGTACAGCTGATATCATATAGCCAGAAATAAAGATAATACAATTTGAACCTCGAACATCTTACTCCATATTTTAGAGTATTATTATGTAAACAGAATAATCTACTTCTTTGCAATACTGTGCAAATTATACCACAAGTAGTAGCCCGGAGATCCCAATGCAAAGAAGATGGCATTCATTTAACTCATGAGAAGTTATAGTTCGGTACACACAGAAATTAAAATTAATTCGTTAAAACACACAGGATCTGTGTTAAAGTCAAGATTCAGGATTGCCTTTTATTGAGCTATCGATATTCAGATCAGTATAGATCTGTTTCTCTCTTAAGTTAGCAGCCTCTAGAAATTGCACAATAGTTCATTTAGGGCCTTGCCCTAAAACACAACGTTTTTAGCTTAACCTTTCGACTTACTGGATGCTCGGCACTAATTACCAAGCAACCAATAGTTTACTGGATAAACCAAGATCCAGAAAAAAATATGGTTTAGAGGAATGTGCAAACCCGATCAGTTGTCTCGACAATTATTGGCAGACCGCCTGTGGCGTTTTACAGAAGGCGGAGGCTCTTCCTGTAAATCGGGAACCGGATTTGAGACTTTCTAAGTGCCCATCGCGCGTGGCTCCACTTTGGAAAGTTGCTTCGATTAATTCCACGAGACCCCACCAAGTCAGGTTCCGCGCGAAGGCCTCCTCCCTCTGCAAAGCGGCATTCTGGCTCTGGGTTAATTCAGATAGGTTTTTCTCTTCCCTTCGCGGTGCCATCTTCCACATCCCTACAGCTACCGTAATCAAGCAAACCGTAATCAAGCTTTCAACAAGCAAACAAAGCCATTCCCCGCGAACGTTAAAAGGAGACGGCGCCCGGAGCGACTCTTTTACGCTTCAAGCTGTCTTACCCCGCCCTGGTAATAGGCGCCTCCGGGACCAGAATACGCCATAATCTTCAATTAGCTACTCTTCGGAAACCGCCAGCAACCTCCCCGTGACCTCTCAGCGCTGCCCCAAACCGGAGGAAGTCCGGATCAAACCATTGTCGCGAAAGGAAGGGATTGGAAAACGTTTCTTCGCGGGGAAACTGCAAGTGGCGCCGTTTCTGACCGTGTATTTCCCTTCGATCTCGCCATTCCTTGCCCGTCTTGTATAAAACTGGACGAAGCACCTGGCATTAACCCGCTCCTCTTTTCTGATGAGAATGGTATAAGCCGGATATCCTTTATTTTTTTATATTGAAACTTTGTTTGTGATGATGAAACTAAGTATTGGAAACCTAGATGACAGTTTCCGGAGGAGGAATTAGCAAATGTGTGCGCGTGTGGATAATTAAGAATATTTGCTTTATGAACAGTACATACTGGACGTGGGAAAGGAAGGATAAGCTACATTATCATGTCATACATAGGTGCTATACAACTTGGGAATCCGAGGGATTTTAGTCTTTCAGCTCTAGGTCTTCTTTGTCCACTGGGTTACTGGGCGCGAAGCCTACTCGTTATTCAGAAATAGGTTCCACGTGCCTTGACAGGTTTCTCACACAGGATTGCTTTCAGACATGTTCTTCATTTTGATTATATGGCAGCAAATCCCACTTTATTTAGAAGCGTGTACCCCAAACAAACATCTAGATCCTAGATTCTAGAATTTCATCCTTTAATTCATCACCTGCAGAAAAGAAGCCAAATGGACAAAAAGTGGTGTTGTGGTGCTGTAGTGCAAGACTTGCACCTTTTAATATGAGTATTGTGATATTGCATGTACACCAAAAGGAGGAAGTTGCACCAGAGCATCGCAGAGCTGTTTGATAAAAGTAGCAATATCTTGATGATGATGATAATGGTTTAAGTCAAATACAGGCTGTCCTTGACTTATACTTTATCAACTAGTCAAAGTTATGACAATGCTGAAGAAAGTGACTTATGACTGGTCCTTGCATTTGTGATTGTTGCAGTGTCCCCACAAACACAGGATCAAAATTTGGACATTTTGCAATTGACATATATTTATCACGTTGTAATGTCCCAGTGTCACGTGATTGCCATTTATGATCTTCCCAGTCAGCTTTCAACAAGCAAAGTAAATGGAGAAAGCTGGTTGAACAGTTGTGTGGTTAATGATTGTGGCAAAAAAGGCCTTAAAAATCAGGTGTGAGTCATTTAACTTGCTTAGAAATGGAATCCCAATTGTGGTTGTAAGTTGAAGTCTAGGAAGTTGATGATTATTAATTTAAGCCAGGCATGTCAAACTGCCGGCCCACGGGCTGAATGCATCATACTAAAACCGTGCCCACCACATTGCTGGCAATGGGGAAAAAGTGATACATTGCACAACATCATGTGACATCGCAAGTTTCACATGCCTGATTTAAGCTAAATCCTACAGGACTATGATTAGGTTTTTTAAAGGTCATATTTGAAAATACTAATTAGGGTTACTCAGTAAATCATGATTTAGCATTTTATGTAAATGTTTTATTCAATCTTCATACACACATAAATTATATAACTTATCTTCAGAAACATTGTAGAATATTTTTTTCTAACACCCTTGCATATAACCAACTCAATGTGCTGCTATAAAATACTTACTTTAAAAAAGATTAATGGTCAATGGATAATCTACATTAAAGTAATTCAAGGCCACTTTTTCATATTTCTGTATTTGATTCTTTTTTAATATATTTATTTATAAGACTTAATTTATTTTTTAACATTAAGCTTGAATGATGAGGCTTTAAACATTTGTTTATAGGAATGGAATCCTATTTGATTTAACGAAGATTTCTAACTCTTATGATATGGAATTTTTCCAAAATAAGCTCTCTAGAACTACTGTAAGTATACCTAAAAGTGCACCTGTTTCTTTTCTGCATGCAGAAATTGGAAGATGCTCAATTATGGCCAAAAGAATTATTAGGGCAATTCATTGCTAGTTACGCACCTCATGTGCTTTTTTGAATCCAATCACATTTCCATGTTACCTTATATTTATTGGTTTATAATCTTAGCTATTCATGTGCATTATTTTGGCTTTTTTCAGATATTTTTGGAATTTAAATAATATAAACAATAATTTACTAGCTAAAACATATTTTAGACATTTTTGCTCAAAGAAATCTTTATAAATTTTCATACATTCTCCTTTGGTACATCTTTAATAAAACCCTTAAACACTGTTTAAGGTGGATAATATCTCCATCATTTAAAGAAACAATTAACATATTATGATTTCTAGCTACTGGGAAGAGCTAATTCCTTTAAAAAAATCATATAGTATGCATGTCTATGTATGTTCCAATAAATCTGTAGATCTTTCTCACTATTTTTTCTACTGTTCTATTTCTGCTTCAGGTAGTGAGAAATTTTTGGAATCCCCTCTTGAGGGAGAAATTATTCTGCCTTGAATTGCACAAAAATGAACATTTAATGAATTTAAATGTTCATTTTTGTGCAATTCAAGGCAGAATAATGATTTGATAAAAAAACATTGATAAGCATCTTTGATTTTGATTTTTGAAGTTGGTTTATACTACCCTCTCCACTTCTCCCAGTCTGCTAATGAGAATATCATATAGTAGTGTGTAAAGTATTTTGCTAAAATTAAAGTATCTACAACATTTCTATGCTTTACTAAGAAAGTTGTTTGATTAACAATAATGGTAGATTTGCTCTTGACAAATCTATGTTGACATCTGGTAATTATGCCATTGTATTCTAGAAGCTTATGTGTTGCTTTTTTTTATCATCTGTTCCATAATATTTCAAGGCATTTATGTTTATTGGTTGGATTCTCATTCTCCCTTTTTGATAGGGCAATTATTTTCCTCCAGTCCCCTGGCATTTGTTCTAGTTTGCTGTTGATGCAACTGGAAAGGCCAGCTGGCAAATTGAAAGGCACAGACTGCAAGAACAAGATGGCACTCAGAGACCATCAAAACCAGACTTGGAGTTAGCCAGCCTTGTTCTGTTCTGCCACTAGCAAAATAGGTCTTGGTTCTCCTCAGGTATCCATCCCCTTAATTGATTTTTTTTGAATGTTATAGTTTTATTCAGTCCAACAAGCAAAGCACACCCCTTATGCCATCCCTCAATTTAAAAGCTCCAGCTTTGGAGAGTTTTCTGTAGCTTTCTTAGATATTCTCCAGTGACATAACCAATGCAGGAAGATGCAAGTGATTTGCCTTTACTTCCTTCCTAGGGCTGAAAGTGACCAGCCCTAAGTCACCCACTTGGCTCCATGCCTAAGGCAGGACTAGAACTCATGGTCTCCTGGTTTCCCTTAATCAGTTTATTAATGCATGTACTACATTGGGCTTTCATGTTTATATGTTTCATGTTGCTGGCTGCACAATGTGGCAATGCAGTGTGAAATACTTGGGAATTAGTGAAAAAAATGGGGCAGTATGCCTGTGTTCAGATTATGCTGAAGTGAGACTAAACCCAAGCAGCCAAACTGGGCACAGGTTCCCAGCAAAGCAGGTTGATATTAGACTGATTGATCAGAAGGCAGATTGACCTAGCTTACTTAGCTTATGGATCTGAACTCTCCATTGGTACTTTGAAGAAAAAAATGTGGCCTAATCCAGTTCCATACCATCCTCATTTGTACCAATACTTTCTGTCTTTAGAGTCAGTGAATTTTGGTGTGATTTAATTTATATTCACTGAACTTGTCCCAGGGATTTGTATCACAGTTCTCTTAACTGTTACTGTATTGTTTGGTGAATCGTCATCACTTTATTAAAAGTCTTATTTGCTGAACTCTTAGGTGTAAATTTCTATTAATTCTTTTCTTGTCCTTCTATTCAAAACAGACTTCCTTGATCTTTATAGTTGATCTTAAATCTTCTTCTCTACTGATCAAGAGCAAAAGATGTCTGAATGACAAAGAAATGTTTCTGCTTCAAAGGATTTTCTTTATTTCTTTTGAAACACACCAAGTATAAGTGCTTATAAACAAATTTGGAGACCAAACCTTGGAAAACAGAATACATGTATTTTTTTTAATACAATACAAATACAATTTGCTAATATACAGTAAGTAAATTTGAATTAAATTGCTTCTTGTAACTGATTTAGCTTATGAGTTTGACTTAAACATACATAATAATGAAGCATTAAATCTTTGACATTGCTAACAGAGGGAACATTCAGGTTATGGAGACTTGAAAGTGAAGTCTGACATCAGGTCTCTGTCCCCATTTGTCCCAGCCTTCTTTGCTGATATTTTATGAATCGCAGCAGATTTCACCACAGAAAACTTTAAAATGAAAGTAGCAAGATGAATGTGGGTGGATTCAAAGGATTTTCAGTCTCCAACTTTCCAACATTTCCTTCATCTGGAAAAAAAACACCTTAAAGCAGCCACTTGAAAACTTTTTTTCATGTGTCTTCCTGCTGGTCTGCAGCAGGCAAGTTTTGTATTAGAATCAGGGAATGTTTTTATTGCTTTTTCATGTTTTGTTAGATATACTTTAGCAAGACTGGATTTAGCATTTCTTGTTCACATTCTTGACTGTCAAGAATGTCAAGTGTAGGGTTCTCTTATGCAACCCTCCTGTTAATCTCACAATAAAGTTATAGCTTCCCATAGATAAAAGAAATTTCTTTATGGATTGAAAGATACTGATAGAAAGAAAATGCAATTTGTATGCAGGTAGCATTATAGATATGTATATTTTATAGCGTATTTATATAGAGATCTTTGGCTGGAAAGCTATTGCTGGTCTGAAATCCTATAACCGTTTTATGGGTATCTGAGCATAATCCTGAAAACTTACAGAAACTCATTCCAAATGTGACAGATGTGGTTTATAAAGTTCTTCCCTGATCACTCACAAAAGCTCATATTCAAGATATTTTTTTCAATGTGTCTCCGCTGCTTAGTGCTTTGACTATGCTCAGTCTTTTTCAAAATATACAGATTAACAGGAATTCAGGAATTATACAAATGATAATTCTTTGGTGTTCGGATTGCTGTTTGAGTGGTTCATATGTTTGTGTTTCCTCTCCCAGCCCTGTCGAATTTCAGTTAATGGTCTGTCTATACATGGAAATATTAGGAAAAACTTAATGAACAGCACGATGCAAGGAATAATGAGAGAGAGCAAATAAATTGGAGGAAGGAACCATGGGTATGAGAGATGATTCAAGAACCTCTTCCCACCATATCCCAGTGTATGGGCAGTACACAAAACCAGTGTAAGGTAGCCTAGATAAGACTGTGGAAACAAACAAAAACAATGGTTAGTAAACAAATATTAACTTCTGAATGCATTTTCTAGAAAGTTAGTGTAAAAATTGTAGAGGATTCTATATTGCTAACCAAAATTGGACCAAACTAGCTTTGCTAGAGTTTCTAGAAATGCACCCAACAGAATGAGAATGTAAGTCTCAAGTGTATTGAACTATATTAAGTTATCCTAGTTTAGAGCTGTAATTTAAGACCACTGTATTTATTAGAATGGTTTAATTGATTGAACCTGACCAGACTGCAAAACTGTGTGCAAAATAACACTCAAATTGTATAAGATAAACATTTTAATAATATGGACTGTCAAGGACAGTTTCCTTTTTCGCATTAAACTGAAATATATAAAATGAAAAATAGGAAGCCTTAGTAATTGCATAATACATTTATTTATCCAAACTACATTAGTTTATATAAGCTTTTATCTTAAAAAAAACCAGCAATAACCTTCCCTTTGCTACAGTGTCTATTTATATACATACATATACAAACATCTGCAACACAGCCTCCTTAATTAGTCTTCATGAACATATCAAAATAAGGAAAAGAATTAGAAAACACTCATTTCAAGGCTGTTTTTTGTGCTGGGGAAATCACAGAGTAATCTCAGTTTTTCATTTTGAACCTGGGACTCTGCTTGTATTTTACACTTTAACATTCACAATTCCCAAAGAGGAGTTATGAAAGTTGAAGTTCTACCTATTTAGAAGGAAGGAGATAGGAAAAAGATGTCATAGTTCTGAAAACATGGCATCTAATTTCCCAGAGAGAATCAGGAGAATACAGCTTTAAAATATTAAAATTCCTTGTCCATCCCTGCCCATGTTGTCTTAATGTCTGGTTAAAAACTGCTGAAGTGGAGGAGGGGAAACAATCCTTGTCTAAAGATTAAGCTAAATACTAGTTAGTTACACCTGATAGGCAAAAAAGGATGAGAACAAGATAAATTTACTAGCCAAACAGAATCTTACCTGCACAAACCTAAACTCTCTCCAATTAACACTGTTGCTGACAGAAGGCAAGGATGTTATCCCAAGGAGAACAAACAGGAAAAAACCTAAGATTCCCAAAGCAAGGTAAGAATCACTGTGCCAGGCAAAGCCAGTCCAAAATGGTTCTGTTTTGTTTTTAAATACCTTAATGGAAAACAGAAATATATGTGTGAGTATAATAATTTCATAACAGATCTGCAACATATTGCCCCCCTATATATCATGAGGGGAGTTCCAGATGAAAATTTTCTTCCACTTGCATCACACTCAAATAAGTCTTTTGAAAGATCTAGAAGATCATAGAGGCTAAATATCTTTATACATGCAGACTCACCTTTCTGAAAAATGACAGGTTCAGCTACGTTTTCAAGAGTCGGCACGGAGGAGGGATGCTGTTCCAGAGATCAAGTACCATGAGAGGGAAGGTGCACTTTCTAGGCCCCAATAGGTGAGTTTAATTGAAGGGACCTAAAATGTGCCTAAATTGTCCAGTCTTACTCAGTGGGCAGAGACCATGGGATGTAGATAGTTCCTCAAATAATCAGTATCTACACAATGAAGGGTTTTCTAGATGACAATGAGCACCTTGAATTGCACCCAGAAGTCAATTGGCAGCTCACAAAGCAGTAAAGACACATGACACACCTAGGTATATTCTGGATGAGCTACAACTTCCAAATGGTCTCCAAGACCATGCCATATAGAGCAGGGGTGTCAAACTCGTAACGTCACAAAATGTGTTGCGATGTATCATAGCTTTTTTTCCATTGCCAGCAACGCAGCTGGTGCAGTTTCGCCATGATGCATCCAGCCTGCGCGCCGGCATTGACATCCCTGATATAGAGTATATTGTAGTTATCTAGTACTGAGGTTATCAAAGCATGTGTCTGAAAGGCCTCCAGATCAAGGAATGGGTGTAGCTGGCACAATTGATGAATCTGGAGAAGCCTTCCTAGTCACAACTGCCATCTGCTTTTTGAGCAGGATATGTGAATACAGAATGACATACAAATTGCATGCCCCTTTCAAATGGGAAGATGCTGTCCTACCCAAGGATAAAGATGGAGATTCCTCAGAACCAGGTTGCCCAAATATCTACAGTCACTCAATTTTGTCAAAACTGAGATGGTTTCAGATCAAGAGGGTTTCAGCTGGGCAAAAGGATATGAATAATGAGTAGGTAACTGCTCTAATGCTCTAGTGACAGTTATGAGCTGGATCTGAAATGACTTAGCATTCCTTTGCTAAATCTAAGGGAACTTGATGCAATTTCCCCATTTTATGAGAGTATTTGAAATGGGCTGAAAATGCTGAAACAATTTGGGGCAACCCTGAAGTTTGGTAAATTATTAGAACTTTCCTCCTTAAAAATCTGCATTAGGGTGGGGGCAGCAAGGAAAAACATGGTATTTGCTTTTCTTCTCAATATTGTACCAGCTGTTGAATTGGGGGAAAAAAGTGCGTGAGACTGGCTTACCTGTTGAAGGACAAAAGAATTGGCCCTCCATCTTACATAGTAACGAATGGGGATGATCAGTGTATATAAAACATGTAGGAAAGCATAAGCCAAGGCGACCAATCCCAGTTGTTTCCGGCAGAGCATCCATTTATCCAGCCAATCAGGAAAACGTCTGTACTTTGTACCTCTGTATAACTGGAGAATAGCTGCAAAGATCCCAGGTAAATAGACCAATGCAAGAAGAACGAGAGCCACAACAGGGCAGATCCGGTTTGCAATTGTAACAGCAACAAAAAAAGAAGTATTTTTTCCATTCTCAACATGATTATAGATGATATCACGGACAACACTGTATAAAAATATGAATGCACTAAGAGCAAAAGAGAGGTAGATGGGAAATCTCCACATTGGAAAAAGTTGTAAAGGGTAATTCTCAATTTCTTTTGATGCTAAGAGAGAACCTTTATCCAAAGGAGTAAGACCAAGACTCCGAACAATCTCCATCACCTTTTCTTTTGCTTTTCGATCATCTCCACAGATGAATACCTGAAACATCAAAGTAAAATAAAGTCCCATTGCTTCAATAAAAAATAAAGAAATTATCCCAGTGAGCCAACCTTCTTGATGTCTTGATGACTCTTAGCTTATTAGTTAACTTTTGAGAAAGTTGGCCATTTTGATAAAACTGAAATTAGCCAGAGTGGGGATCTTTGGGGATAACAAAACCTGAAAATGTTTTATGTTCTTTTTTATTAATATACTTTTTAACTTCATTTTTTTATTTTAGTTGAAAAATTAAAATACAAAATTTGAAAAATAATTAAGAGCTAAAACAAAACTAGACAAGAACATTAAAAATATGAATTAAAAAGAATAAAACAAAAACACTCCTCCCTAGTTTAAATTAGCAAATCTGTTGTAAAAATAATAGTTTCCTCCCTTGCAAAGTAGGTTCAAAATGTATAAGACTCTATGTCTACTTGCAGTGTACTGCCATACATATATGAAAGAAAAAATAGTTAACAGGTTAAACAAAGCAAAAGATTTAAATGTGCTTTTCTTTGCTGGAGCTATGAATCCAATGGCACTGATTGCTCAAAACCTCACGACCTAACGATCATAAGTTGAACAGTAGGATGTAGAGAGATAGTTAAAGATTTACTGTGTAGTTCTTGACTGAAAAGTCACCTACTACCTTCATTTCCAGGTACACGTGCACACAGCATGTGACCTCGGATTCTGCACCTGTTGGGATGCAGTTAGAGCTTCACAGAGGCAGGGCTCCTTTCTATCCACAGCAGTTGTAGCTTCCACTGCCTGTACACCTTAGTTTGCCGAAGTATTAAGTCTCTCACCCTTTCTCTTGGTAATAACAACAGACATAAAAAAGCAGCCAATTAGATTAGTTATAAGGAAAAAAGGCAATTTGTTTTATTTTATACTGTAGCTGCTAGTCTACCTATTAAATTCTCCGGTCAAATTAGAAAATTAAAATATTAAAATATTAAAAAACTGTACTAAGCCAATTTAGAATCACAAAGTAATGTCCCAGCTTTGGGTTTCCCAAACTGGTCATTTGGGAGGGGTAGAGAGAAAAGGTCTGCTGTTCTGATCATGAATCTGCATTTAATTTCAGAAGTTCCAGTTCAGAGGCTAGGTGTAATCTGTATAATGTATTTTATAAATAAAGTGCCTTTCAGTGACAGCTACAAAAATCTAGTTCCTTGTTTCAGGCCAGATCCTTAGCTCAGCTCATGCACACACAGAACATGTCCACCTCCAGCAACCTTTGGCATCTGAGATGCCCTTACCTGTCTGCTTGCATCCAAGCCTCCTGATTGCAGGGCCCATGCTGACACTGTATTAAACGCTTTGACCACTTTACTGCCTGGGAGCAGCTGGGCAAGATATTCAGCATTTGATTCTGCATACTGGTTTATTTTAAGGTTGTTGCTCACATCCACCAACACTTTTTCATCAAGGATTTCTCGTAGGCTTTCAAGAAAGTTGTAGTGCACTCTCTGGACTGCTACAATGATAATGTCAGATGTTTCAGCAGCTTCTGCATGAGATAGGATTGTGGCTCCTTGAGGAATTAATCCGGATTTTTGAGTGTTTCGGCTCCCATAAACAATGGAATAGCCACACTGCATCAGCTTATAGCCCAGAGATCTTCCAAAATCACCTGTTCCAAAAATGCACAGCGTCTCCATCTTGCTGGGCATATCTGAAGTAAGTGGAATCATTGAATTGACATTTTCAGACATATCTGAAATTATTCCTACAATGCAGAATTGTTCATGTTAACTTATTGCTAGAAATAAAAAAAAATCAGTTTGATTCTCAAGTACCTATTAGATTATACATATTGGTGACTTTCACATGTGCCGACGCTCAGCTCTCATAATATTGACTGGAAATTATGTCAGTTAAAACCCAACATTTGGATTTTAACTGACATAATTATTTGAGGAAGGCTACATTCATAAATACTAGATAATTTCAAGTTAATGTAGCACATAATATTTAATTGAAGTCTTGTTACATAAAAAACTTTCTGATGCCTTCAGAATTTCAAGTTGAAGAAAATATGGTTGGTTTTGTTGTTACAAGTGTGCTTGAAATTTGATATAAAACACACATTTCTCTGACTTTACTAACAAAATTTGCTATCTTGCTATTCATTGCTACAAAGCTGGATATAGATTTTGCTTTAGGGAGGGTGATATCCCCACTGTGATTCATATTTTGAATAATGAATTATGTTTTACATACAACTAGGATTTTTACTGATGCTTGGGGAATATATTTTTTTAGAATCTAAGCTCTTTATTTATACACCTCTCCTTCATTTCACTAAGCTTCTTTTCCCCCTGAATACAGAAGCATAAAGCAAATAGTTTTATCCAAGTTGATGTTTTTTGGTGTGTTGCAAGGGCTACAGAAGAAATAAAAGGCTGTAAAGTTATAAATGAAGAGTTATAGAGGAAAATTTTTTTTTATAAATTTAAGAGTTTCACTCAAAGTCACATGTGGTCACAGTACCAATCACAAGCAAGGGAATATGAAAACAATCTATTTAAAGAACAAATGTGTTGAACAGGCTTCCATTCCTTCCATTCTCGTTCCACCAAATGCTCTTTGACATATATCAAGAACCTACTGATTTTTAATTTAAGAACTAATTAAGAAATCAAAACTTTGAAGTTCAGGATGGTCTTCATTCATTACAGTATGTATCACTACAATGCCATGCAATGCAATACTGATATAATTAGATTACATAATTATACAATGTAATTATAATAAAATAATTTAAGTAAGGTTTATTTATTTATTTGGAGGCTTTATTATTCCAGTCCTCTGACTCTGAACAATGTAAAACTCAGTAAAGCATAATTGGGATTAAAAATAATGAAACAAACAATCATCACTCTTTAAACAATACTCTTTAAAGAGCAAGTAATTTTTTTTAAAGGAAGCTTCGGCCTGTAAAGGGATTTGTGAAATAGAAGAAGGACCATTATCAAAACAACAGTCAGATAAAAGAAGTATAAGTCTGGGGCAGGAATATAACATGAATATCTCAAGACAAGCCCCTTCATAGTTTTCATGAAAAAAGAAAAGGGGGGGAGCACGTTCAGATTTTGTTACTCTATATGTTACATGATGGAAGTGTGGGCAGCTGGAGGCTGCATGCTATATAGACAGTGATGGGATTCAAATAGATTCTCTGTTTGGATGCCCCTTCTGGAACAAAAAAATTAGCTACTGGTTCTGCCGAAGTGGTGAGAATTGCCTGAATCCCACCACTGTATATAGACCATGAGTGTGTAAGTGGGCAGGTGCCATGGTTGGGTACTACAGAGTATTGACAGATGGATAAAAATTCAGCAGGAATGAAAGTGACTATAAGAGCATTGCTAAGCAATGCAGTTATATGAGGTTGTGTTTATTACTGCATTTGTTAGCACTGTTTGCTTAGCAATGGAAATTCTAGTCCCAATTGCCTTCAGAATCCCAGGAGTACCTGTAGCGAATTTTCTCACCAACATCCTACAAGCCCAAAAGATAGACAGGCCTTTACCCTGGTCAGATTTGATGGTTCACCATCTGCACAGTTAGGTTAAATTTTCAAAAAATGAAAAATTATAAAAACTAGTCAGGAAAGCAGTTCCACCATTAGATGACAGAAGAGTGAAAAAGGATGTTGAGATAAAATATTGAGGTTGTAGAGATATTGAATGCTTTTTTATAGTTTTTTTTTAGATTTTTCTTTTTATATATAGAGATTTAATTTTAACTTTGTATTTTATATTCTTTTTAGCTTTTAAAATTGCTCACTGTATTTTCCCCTTCCTATATGACCATAATAAAGATATTATTTGATTGGAATATTGGAGTAAAATGGGTCTTAGATGGATTATGTTTTTATCCTCTTAAAATATTATTAATTTTGGCTAAAATAAAGCAATTGTATTTCCTTTGATGAAAACACTTTAATGTAAATGCATAGGACAGCCTTCTGCAACTTGCAGTCTTCCGAGCTAGATGATAACATGGGAGAATTATATTTAGGTCAGCAAGTAACATCAGATTGTGTTAGGCTGGTACAAACTTCCAGAAATTGTAGATTTTGATGTGCTCAATGTTACATTTGCCACTAGATGGCAGTACAGTTTTATTTGTAACTATGAATTTAGATTAGAAGATGGAATAAATATGTGACACAAAATTGATTGTGTACTTTGTTTTCTTGTGGCTGTGGTGGGGAATTCAGTAACCAGGGAAATAGTCTTTAGGATCCAGGCAATTTTTAGGATCTACAGGCAACTGGGACTTATTTTGTAGTAATAGTGATAATGCTATCTTTTCAAGCAATTCTATGGACCAGCTCCCTCCCAATTTTCTGATTGTGTTAGGGCTACTTTCAGTTTTATGTTATGATCAGTGGTCTAGCCACCATGTTTAAATTTGTATTAGAAATATGGGTCAAAAATATGTTCCCATTTAAAATTAGGTATCTTCGACAGAATGGACTTCCTAAACGATTTAATATTTATGAAATTAGAATTTCACTTTCTTTCTTCAAGGAGAAGGTGTTGATCTGGTTATACTAGAATTATATTTCATATATAGTTGCTATCAGTATATACAGAATCCCCAACTACATTTTATAACTTAGAGTATGTTATGGATAGAAAGCAGAGTGTAAGTTAATTAGATAACCATATAGGTAGATGATACATAGATAACAGACCAGTAGAAATAGAGACAGAGACAGATAGACATAAAGATAGAAGAACAGATATCTACCGATCTACCAATCTACCTCAAAAGGTATTTGGGATCATTTATATATTTATGGACACTTCCTTTATCACAGTGGTTCTCAACCGGTCGTAAGTCGAGGACTAAACCGGTCATAAGTCGACGACTTTCCCTGCTTGGGAGCGCCGCACATGCGTGGTGCCGCCCCCTGCGCTGGCCAAGATGTTGCTGACAAGCGGCAGAGACGGAGCAGGCCGACCACCGGCTGGGCCACCAGCTGGCCCAGCCCAAGGGAGGTAAAGCACCCACTGGAAAAGGGGAAAAAATGGCGGACAGCCTTGCTTGGCGATCCCCGTGAAATGGTCGATCGACCCCAAATGGTGTCCCGACCCATAGGTTGAGAACCGCTGCTTTATCACTTCCTGCCTCTTACTTTTTTTTAAAAAAAACTTTTTTAAGCTAAGCTGCAACATTGATCTAATACAGCGGTTCTCAACCTGTGGGTCGCGACCCCATTTGGGGTCGAACGACCATTTCACGGGGTCACCAAACAACGCAGTCTGCCATTTTTTCCACCATTTTTTCCCCTTTTCCTTAGCTGTGCTACTCCCTCTTATTCTATTGGCTTTCGAAAGCCAATAGAATAGACTCTCTTGAACAGAGTCTAATTCTATTGGCTTTCAAAAGCCAATAGGAATTGTCCAGGCTGACTCTGCCCTGCTGAGCCCACCAAAAGCCCCAGTCTGCAAATGGTACTGCAAGGCGAACATTCTGCAAAGCTTCCCTCCCTGCTGAGCAACTAAAAAGTAAGTAAAAGAGGGCCGGGATGGGACGTGGGAGGCCAGTGGGCGCAGGGAGGGTTGCTGACGCACGTGGGGCCCGGCGGGTGCCTTACCTGCCTTGGGCTGGGCCAGCTGGTGGGCCAGCCAGTGGTCGCCCTGCGCCGTCGCTGCCGTGGCCACCCGGGAGTGCCTAGGCCTGCCTGCCGCCGCCCCTTGCCAGCTATGCCTCAGCCGGTGCAGGGGGCGGCACCATGCATGCGTGGTGCTCCCGGGCAAGGAAATACAGGTAGTCCTCGACTTAAGACTGGGGTCGCAGCTATAAAAAGGTTGAGAACCACTGATCTAATATCTAACGTTTACTTCCAAGAATGCCTTTGGACCTCATTTGATCTCCAGAGGTCTATACAAAAGATAAAATGGTTCTTTGTCTAGAGGAGTGACAGACAAAAGGGCAAAGTAAGCTGGACAGAATATTTTGGAGACCTAAAGACTGCCGTCTCATAAATGGTTATTTTACCATAATCCACACTGGCAAATTTATTCAAAAGGCTATTGTACTCCTGTTTTATTTTATCTTACTTTAAGGGATGCCATAGAGTATTAATGCCACACAAAGACCCTCAAAATAGGGTTCCTTTTAAAAAAATGTTTCATTGATCTAGCATCGCATTTGTACAGACAGAGGCACTTCTATTAATTCCATTTAATTTCACTGATTAAATCAGAGATGGGTAAATCAGAGAAGTTTGGTACTATGCATTCCATAATCTACTATTATTGGCTTTTATCCCTCTGCCTTCATAAATAATTAGTTTATTATCTTATTCACAGCAGCTTTCTGACCGAGCTTAAAAGGACTTTTCAGGTACCCCAGTGCTCTTATAGTCAACAGAGAGTAATATGTTAGCCTAATTTTTTTCAAAATAGGGAGGAGGATCGTGATTGGTTGTGTTTGCCCCTCTATTTTTCCCCTAAAAAGGGGGAGGGTTATATTTAAGATTTATTGCAGACTTTATAAACTTTGCTTTTTTGATATCCCCTTCCCCAAAACTGACTGTTTCACGTTTGGTTAATGCCAGGATTTAAAAAGAAATAGTGTCATATCCATGCCAGTCATTAATTTATTTAGAAATGATTATCATTGTTCAAAGCAAATTTCCAAGTGGGATTTTAATGTGAAGCCAGCTGCAGTTGGTAGGATTGCAGCCTAAGCAAAAGAGCCAGATGAAATCTTGCTGCCTGAGGCAAAGCCCAAGACATCCCTCTCCTTTGCATCCATCTGCTGCAGTTGAATGGGTTGCCAGCTGAGAACTGGAAGGTAAATCTTACTTCATCCCCGGATGGGTGCCTGCTGCCTACACCTGAGAGCAACTGAGACCAGTTTAAGAAATGCAAGACAGAAAGAGCAGCACATGGAACACAAGACTGCACATAAACCTCTCTTTCAGGAGAGATACAGACTCAAGAAAAAGATTTAGGAGGCAAAGGACTGTCCTTTTGGTGCAAATTCAGAGGCTGGTGGCATCAATACGTCACTGTCATGGCCTCATGCTTGGAAGGAGTGAAAGGGTTTATATACAGAGTTATTCTCAGCTTCTTTTTTGTTGGATACTCTGTCTGTTCTTTGCACAAGGAACTACTAATCTGGGGTCACTTCCTAAGGTCTTTTTTCCCAAGTACACACATACTTAGAGCACATTACTTTGACTTTTTGATCAGCTGTCTGCTAAGCTTTGCCCACTGTACAATGTAGCTCCTGTGACTAAATTGCTTTTCTGTTTTAAGGCTTATTTTACTAATCCTCGCTCAAGTCAGATATTTGCTCTCATAATGTTTACATAGAAAGCTTCAATCTCCAGTGTGCCCCCTCATTTTTTTGACCGCCTTGTAACAACAAAGTAAATTGCATTCTTATTCCTTTTGTTCAGAAAATAAGCTTAGAATTCCACCCTGCTCCCGGTTTTTTCCTTATTCATACTCTAACTTCATTTTTTTCTGCTGTATTACTATATCTGAGGAGATAGGCGGAACTCTAAAATAAAATTAGTGTCCCATGAATTATAAAAGCTTTGATATTATGGGGCACATGAGGTGAGAAGAATCCAAAAATCAGGGTTGCAATGCAGCAAATTATCACTGTAATTTGTATTTTTTTTTTAAAAAAAATCCAGTTTTTTGCTTTCAGCAAAATGATTCCACATTGCAAACTTTAACAGAACAGATAAAATGTATTGTTAGTGATGATAATTTCTTCCCTATCGCTGCTCTGCTATTCTATTCCTCTCATCTCTGCCTTTTAACAAGATAATACTGAAACTGATTCTTCAGGCGTATGAAGCATGAGCTGAAAAAAAAAAAGATGCACTTAATGTTGCCTAAATCATAGCAAACTGCTGAGAGAGCTGCAAATTCAAACCAACTAAACCATTACTATAAATATACATGGTCAAGCTGAAAAGTTGAATACTTTCCTTTGCATTTCCAAAGTTGCTAAACTGGTTAGAGTTTAAAAGAATCAAGGGTTAATCCAGCCCTGTCATCTGTACGGTTCATCACAAAAGATTCTTAAGGTGTTGGCAATCTGAAAGGTGGAGACAGGCATTAAGCATAAAGAATGTAGTTGAGAAATGATGTGGTAAGATATACTGTACATTCCAATGAGAAAAAGGTAGAGTACATTATGAGTGGAGTTTTCCTCCTTTTGTTCCATCAAGTTTTTTTCTTTGCATCTTTCTTCTTTTCTCTCTTAGCATCTCTTCATGTGACTCATTGGTCAAAAACTCCCAACAATTCTCAGCATTCTTCACCATTAAATATATCAGCTGAAATGCTGGGATATGTACACCTACATCATCTGGAAAGGTACAAATCCCCCTCCCCCCACCCTTAAGTTTAATGGATTCATGGGATACTTTCAGTATGACAATCTCTGTTGTCCCTTTCCACAATAAATGACAGCTTTCATCAAGATTCTGATTGTATTATTATGATGCCCCTTGAAGATAAACACACTGCAAGTCCTGGTATCTAACATTGGATTGAATGACAGAACTAAAAGTCAGTTTAGTTGCTAAGCAACATTACTATTGACAGTTAGGATCTAAAATGATTATAATCACAGAATGAAGGAATTGTTCCTTCTGCGGAACAGCAAACACATTGGGAGTTTACCACAAGAGAGATTTTCCTTCATGTTGCAACTGAGTCTCGTTGCCAGAAAATGTTGGTAAAGTGCCTGCAAAAACACGCTGTATAAGCTCGTGGCACTGAACAGCACCAAACATTGCATAAGAACTGATATGAAGAAAACAATATAAGAAATTTAAAAAGGAACATCCTTGTGCAGATTTTGTCAGAGTCTAATCTGAAAAGTATGTTTCCTGGATGTTCCTTCTTTAATAAATCTAGTCTGAAACTCATTTAATGATTGTAGCATTTATTTACCATTCAATTTTTTAGATAAAAAAGAAATCTCACTATTATTTTTATAAATAATTCAAGGCGGTAAGTGTTCCTAATCTTAATCAGACTCTCCCAGACTGGAGCCTCCAGCTGTGTTGCAGATGTATCTTAAGACATTTGAGTGCAAGATTGTGGATGGCTGGCATAAGCTCCTCTTGTGAAAGTCTATTAAAGTTTTCCTTTTAGAAACCCTCCAAATTGGTATTAGAACTATTTAGCATTATGCCAAACAATTCAGACCTAATGTTGAACCTTTTTTTTAAGGTAATAAAGTGAGATTTAGAGAAAGAGCAAAGTGGGCAAGTAGATTCATAATTGATTAAAATAGAACCACAAAGGGTGTCTGGCTCTACCAGGCCTCTCAAATAATTATGTTACCTAAGTGAAAACATCCCACAAACCTCTTTTATATTCTATTACTGTAATGTAAGATATATTAAGTATAAATGAATGATTAATTTGCTGCCTTCTCATAACAAGGCAGCTGTCTCCCTCTCCCTGCATGAAATGAATCTGTGCCGAACATAACACAAATTCAACTGTCCTTAATGATAAGTCAGTTCTTAGTAATGAAATGCCCAAATATTGATGCAATTCTTTCATGCAAAATAAAAACATTTTAAAAGCTCAATTGCAACTTCTGTTGTATTTTTCTATGGGAGCCAGTTAGGACATTAACATTATTTTAATGCCTCCCTTACCTGCTGGTTGCTAGGATTGTTTAATAGTGCACTAGAATAAGAATATATCATTGTACACTTTTCAGTTCTCCAAAGGCTTATAGCATACAAACATCTTGTATTCTCAGATCAAAAACATTCTTCTACTGTAATCTGAGAAAACATAGATGGGAAGATCTGACAGCTAGCTCAAGAACTTGGCTCTGTGGCTGAGATTTGGATGGAGAACAGTAAGTCCTTCTTTTGTGGAGAAGAGAACAGCCTGAACCCAGGTAGCAAGTATTTCTGAAGGAAGCCAGGTGCAACAGAAGAATTGTCATTCTCCCAGTGAACATCTGGGAAATGCTTAAGCCTCACTGGGTACAGATGATGGTGGAAGCTATAGTAGTGGCTTTGGTTATTCAGATAGAGAGGTATCATAAAACAAATGCATAGGTATTCATAAACAATATAGCTATATCAACTGATAAATGGGGTATTAATGCAGCATTTCTTTTTGTAGTGTCTGGTCTATTATTTAATTTCAATTAAGTTAGTTAAATTTGAATAAATGCAAAAATAACTAAACAATTAAAACTGACTGCATTGTTACAATGCAAATTGACAAATGAACTATGCCACCCTTTCAGAGTCATTCTTTGCCCATTATTTGGGCAAAATAATGCAGTTTGCCAGAAGAAATTGAGTTGTAGTTGCAAGTCGGTGGAGAACACTGTAGTATTACCTTGGCTGATAGCTAAGCTGCCTTGCCAATTTCTGGTTGCTATATATGGGAAGGATTCTTTGATCGTGAAGCTGAAGTTCAAATTCTTTGGCCACCTAATGAGAAGAGAGGACTCGTTGGAAAAGATCTTGATCTTGGGAAAGATTGAAGGCAAAAGGAGAATGGCAGAGGATGAGATTGATAGTGTCATTGATACAAAGAACATGGATTTGGGCAAACTCTGACAGTATGACAACAGGAGAGCCTGGAGTGCTATGATTCATGGAATCGCAAAGAGTTGGACATGACTTAGCAACTGAACAACCAATACATGAGAAGGAGAGGGGAATTTTCTTCTGCCTTAAATAACAAAACTCAATTATGTGGATTCTAGCTGTAATAGACTATAGTGCTCCATAGTTTATAGTCAGTTATAATGATGATTGTTCATACTCAATTATAACCAGCAAGCAAATTTACTAACATAATTGATATATGGATATCTAAATTTTTGATGATTGACATTCCACAATAGCTTGAGCAGTAATGACAAAGGAACTGAATGGTGTTATCTACTTGATTAGTGCAAGGTGTTTTTTTTTCTTTTTTGTCTGGTTTCTGGGGAGGGTTATTTTTTTTTTTAAGAAAATATATTTAAATTCATTTTATGAATTACTATTTTCATGTACAGTTTGGAGTATGCAAAATGGGGTAGGTTGCCAGCAATAAGTTTTAGTAGCATGAGTGGAATGGTTCTCATTCAAAGAACCAATCAACCAACCAACAACAATATGAATTAATCTTGTTAGGGTGTGGGTCTGCCTCCCACATGTTGGATTGCTGCAGTGTTAATAGCTGTAGCCAGGAAAATTGGACAGGGTTGTTGTAACACTGAAATTACAGTAGGAAAATGTAGCCAGGAAAATTGGACAGGGTTGTTGTAACACTGGAATTACAGTAGGAAAATGAAAGCTGCTGCATCTATGGAAACTCTGTCTTTGGTACAACTATTAAAGTTAAGTCAAAACCAGTTTATACTTGGTCATTCTGAGTGTAATTTCTGGTAAAACATAGCTCATCCCATAATTTGTATGTGCTGTGCTATAAACATCTGTGGTAACTACTCTCTCCGTATTTGTACGTTTTAATTATAGATTTGGTTGGACTCACCCTCCTACACTGTTGGAGGATCCTGTTGAACTAGTTTGCACCTTTTTAAAAAAATTATGGGAGCAATGCCTTGTTTGTAGAGAATAAAATCCAGCATGCAAAATAAGATACAACCTTATCTCCATTATGCTGAAAATTGCAGTACTTGATCAGTAAATCTGAAAAAGGGTCTGAGTAGGACAAACTGAAATGTGTCTTTGCATTTGCATGAAATCACCACCCTTCATTACACTAGAGTGTGCAAGTTGAATGGCATCTAGGACCATCTCTCTCTCTCTCTCTCTCTCTCTCTCTCTCTCCCTCCCTCCCTCCCTCTCTCTCCATCTCTCTCTCCCTCCATCTCCCTCCCTCTCTCTCTCCCTCCCTCTCTCTCTCCCTCCCTCCCTCTTTCTCTCCATCTCTCTCTCCCTCCCTCCCTCTCTCTCCATCTCCCTCCCTCCCTCTCTCCCTCCATCTCTCTCTCCCTCCCTCCCCCCCTCTCTCTCCATATCTCTCTCTCTCTCTCTCCATCCTTCTATCCATCTATCTATCTTATATCTATCTATCATATGTCATCCATTACATTTCTAGAGCTACCACCTCACTAAAGATAATTCTGGGTGATGCACAAAAAAACCTTCCAGGACAATTACAATCATACCCTTCATCTGAAGATACATGATTGCTCAGCCTGCAGTGTTTTTAACTGGGCAGGACTTGGATAGAATCCAGGCCATTTTTTTTAGAACAATTGTGTGACTGAAGAAAGCAGGAGAACAGGTCCCTCACAGCCACATTATTTTGCTTTAATAATGTTAGTCAAAATTGTCAACCCGTTATTATTATATGCCAATCTCTTTCTGTGAAGGGGAACAATAGAGTCCTTGAGAACAATCCTTTTCTGCAGGGAATGAGGATTTTCTGATGTTTGCTGGGCTTAAAGGCTGCATTGATAAGGGAGGAAGGATAGAACAGGTGGAAAGAGAAGGAGGATGGTAGACACAAGTCGATGATAGAGAGAAAAATAAAGGTAAAAGAAACAGCAGCCTGACTTCCCTAATCAGGCTTGTAAAAACAGCCTAATCCTTCACTGTAGCTTGACCTCAAACCATCTCTGTGACCACACAGAAACTCAGCCAGTTAGTCAAGCTGGAAGCTGCAATTTAGCCAGAGCTTGACTTCCTGATGACCTTAACTGGGAGGTCTGTACAAGCCCACAGATGGAAAGGGAAGATAGTTGGGGATTCCAGATCAACCATCCAAGCAATAGAATCCAACCTGAAGGGGAACTCCTGAGAAACATAGGCGAATTCCAGGCATCTGATTCCCCTTCCCAAAAATATATTTTCAGCTGGGGAATCTATTTCCAGGGTGTAAAAGAGTTAGCAAAGAATGATATACTGTACCTAATCAGAAGAAAAAATAACAGCTTTCAAAAGAAACTAGCATGCTGCATAATGAACTCTCTGATAAATTGAAAGATAAAAAGGACAAGTATAAAAAGTGGAAATAGGGGCACATAACTAAGGCAGAATATCAGCAAATAGCCCGAGCCTGCAAAGATTAAGTGATGAAAGCTAAGGCTCAAAATGAACTAAAGCTTGCAACCAAAGTCAAAAATAACAAAAACGCTTCTTTCAACATGAAAAACAAGAAAAAAGTGAAGGAAATGATTGGTCTACTAGTGGGTGAAAGTGGCAAGAAGGTGACAAGCAACAGGGAGAAAGCAGAAATATTTAACTCGTTTTTCGCATCTGTCTTTACACAAAGGGAAAAAACAGACCAACCTATCAAAAATACTGCCATAAAAACCAGAATAGAAACACAAGATAGGCAAGAAAATGGTAAGTGAGCACTTGTCCAGCCTAGACGAGTTCAAATAACCAGGACAAGATGGATGACACCCCAAGGTTCTGAAGGAGCTGGCAGATATGAACTCAGAACCACTGAACTATATTTTTCAAAAATCCTGGAGCACTGGGGAACTACCAGAGAAGTGGAAAAGAACTCATGTAGTTCCCATCTTCAAAAAAGGAAAAAAATGGATCCAGGAAATTACAGACCTATCAGCCTGACCTCAATACCTGGGAAAATTCTGGAAAAGATAAACAACAAATCAGCGAACACCTAGAGGCAAACAAAGTCATTACTAAAAGCCAACAAGAGTTTGTCAAAAACAGATCATGCCAGACAAATCTTATTGCATTCTTTGACCAAGTTACAAAATTAGTGGATCAGAGGAATGCTGTGGATATAATTTACTTGGACTTCAGTAAGGCATTTGATAAAGTAGATCACAACCTACTACTTGATAATTTAGAAAAATGTGGGTTAGACAACATAACCACCAGATGGATTCGTAGTTGGCTGGCCGACTGTACTCAGCATGTGGTCCTCAATGGAACCGCATCTACATGGAGGGAAATGTGTAATGGGGTGCCCCGGGGCTCTGCTCTGGGCCCAGCGCTCTTCAACATCTTCATCAACAATTTGGATGAGGAGATGGGGAACTCATCAAATTTGCAGATGATACCAAGCTGTCAGGAATAGCCAACATTCCAGAAGATAGGCTTAAGATACAGAAGGATCTGGACAGACTTGAACACTGGGCGCTATCTAACAAAATGAAACTTAATAGTGAAAAAAGTAAGGTTCTACATTTAGACAAGAAAAACCAAATGTACAGGTATAGTATAGGGGGTACCTTGCTCATTAATAGTAACTGTGAGAGGGATCTCGGAGTCCTAGTGGACAATCACTTAAATATGAGCCAGCAGTATGATGCTGCAGCCAAAAAACCCAACATAGTGCTAGGCTGCATTAACAGAGGGAGAGAATCAAGATCACGTGAAGTATTAATACCACTTTAAAATGCCTTGGTAAGACCACACTTGGAATACTGCATCCAGTTTTGGTCACCACGATGTAAAAAAGATGTTGAGACTCTAGAAAGAGTACAGAGAAGAGCAACAAAGATGATTAGGGGACTGGAGGCTAAAACATATAAGGAATAGTTGCTGGAATTGGGTATGTCTAGTTTAATGAAGGACGAGTGGTGACATGATAGCAGTGTTCCAATATCTCAGGGGCTGCCACAAAGAAGAGGGAGTCAAACTATTCTCCAAAGCACCTGAAGGCAGGACAGCAAGAAGCAATGGATGGAAACTAATCAAGGAGAAAAGCAACCTAGAACTAAGGAGAAACTTCCTGACACTTAGAACAATTAACAATTAACCAGAAGCGGTGAATGCTCCAACACTGGAAGTTTTTAAGAAGAGACTGGACAGCCATTTGTCAGAAATGGTATAGGGTTTCCTGTCTGAGCAGTACTAGATGACCTCCAAGGTCCCTTCCAAAGTTGTTTTTATTGTTGTTATTATTATTGTTATTATTATTAAACACAGATCTGGATTAATTGCTTCCCTGTAACGCAGAGCTCTGAATTGGCTATACTGTATCCTGGGAAGGGCACCAGGTGCATTAGCATGCTTATACCCAGATTGGTTGTGTCTTCTGCTGGCTAGGAATGCATGCTGATAGTCACCTTTTGTGCCTGTTGCACTGAATGCCAAAAATCACAGCGAAAAGGTTTTGTTGCTTCTCTTTCCCCGAAAACAAATTACTAGCTAAACGGCAAGAGCTTTTTTCAGAGCTCTGATGAAAGGACTAGTCAGCAACAAAATCTTGATATTTGGTCATGGCCCCTCCAAGCAAATCTGGCATGTTACTTTACTGAATAAGGTGGAATAAACTTTATTGATTAATCAAATTGACCATACTGGGACAGTAGATGTTAGCCACAATGAGATATGGATGAAATGAAATAAGGTAAAATTCAGCAAAGTAAGATAAAGTAAAAATAAGAGTTAGAAAAAAATAGTGTAAGTGTACCTTACGTTTTTCCAATAAAGATGTATCACTGCTTCATAAAACAGCTAGAACCTGCAAGACAGTCTTATTCCTGAGAGAGAGAGGATGACAAGGTGGCAGGGCTCTGTATCCTCTGTTTACCTTGTATAAATTAAGTTTGCAATTGCTTTCATAAGATTAGATGGGCTGGCTCTCCTATTATACATTTGCATCATGGAGCAATTGTTCGAAAACTAGGGCATCAGTTTCAGTTCCTATTTCCCTGCTATTGAAAACCAAATAGTGTACAGTATGACATGTATATAAATTAAGTTGCTCCCTCAGATGTTGGGGAAGACTTACCTATTGTCTACTTCTGCCTGTCTAATAGGAAGATTACCTATTGGTTTTATGTCAGATAGCAAAACATCTTGGCTACGTCCTGTACACCAAACTTTAAAAAGTGCTGTCAGTCATTTCATACATTTCTGTTTTCTCTTCCACGTGAATGATTAATTAATGCAAGCTCTACAATGCATCCCTTTAGTACTTATTACATATTTACATGTGCAATAGGCAAGCACCTTGAGGTTTAAACTCACCAATACAAATACAAATTCATACCGTAGTTGTGCTCTCTCTTCCATATGATTGATTAATTAAGGAAAGCTTTATAATGCACCTCTTTAGTGCTTCTCATGTCCTTACATATGTAGTGGGCAAATGGTTTAGGGTTTAAGGTAAAAGCTCACCACCCAACAATACAGATACCATTAATTTTTTCAGTGTTTTGAGCATTTTCATGCTTCACATAATTTTCTAAAAATCAGGATCTTGAAAATCTCTTTAAGCATTCATTGTGGTTTTGAAGAATGTTTTGAAGAATGTTTTGGTCTGAAGAATATGCACTTATTAAGGACTTTTTGTACACAGGGAGTCATGACTATTCCTTGACATTGTGTGGGAACTCATGTAGGTGTTAGAAAGGTCATATTTGTCTGAATTTTCCCTTCTGAAAAATGTCACCTTTTCTGTTAGTTTTTAAAATTACTTTATTAATATTATTGCAAGCATTTGAAATGTATTTCTTGTGAGTTTAGAAGAACAGAAAAAGAAGACATATTAAACTGGAGACTTATGAAGAGAAGCTCTAAAATATTTTTCTATATTTGCTCAGGGTGCAAAATAGAAGACCATCAAATACCAGTTTTATCACTGTAGTTCAGTGGTAAAAATTATACTTTGCATGTGGAAACTCCAGTATTTGCTATCAAACTCTCCAGACACAGATACACATTCCTATTACACTATTGCTCCCCAGGATAAGCAACATTATGGAGAGTACAGGAAATGTGAACAAACTCATAAGCCCTCCAAAATGAATAAGAAAAATAAATATTAGCTAGAATTAGTTTATACCATTAGCATTCAAAACACCTCACTATAACATTTTATCTTTCTAAACCTGAATTGTTTTTATTGTATCCATACATGATTTTACACATTGGCTTTTGTCCTTTAAATTTAACCCTTTTAAGGTTCTCATTAATTTTATCTAGCCATGGCTTTCTTGGTCTTCTCTTTCATCTTGACCTATTTACTCTACCTCCATGTATTTGTTTCATAATTTCATTCTTGTTCATTCTCTCCTTATATAAATAATTGTAAACTATTTTTACTCGTCATTTTGAATTTGGTGAATTCTCCATTCATTCTGCAACCATCTACTTTTGATCCTGTCTCTTGTTTTAATCACACACATTTCTTAAGCATTCCATTCCACTGCATTCCTAACTACCTTGGATTTTGATGCATAAATTATAAGACTCACAATACTTATTGCTTCTTACGATCTATTTAACATTCCTAGCAAATTTAAGTTCCAGTCAACAATATCATCTCCATTCAAGTATAGCTGGGAAGTGGTCCTTGAAATCTAAGACAGCTGAGAGCAAACAGGGATAAGTAACCTGTGGTTCTTGGATCACATGTATCCCCCTACCACTTTTTTTTTTTTTTTGCGTTCTTGAGAACTGTCAATTGAATGAAGCTGGAATACTTTTTGGTGGGGAACTGAGGCAGTTTAAGGGTGATACGAATGTTTCAAAATTTGCAGAGACTTAAGGCATATAAGGTGTGCTCATATCACATCTTATCCATAGAAACCTGTACCACACTATAACGTCTTCTCTAAATTGCAGAGATTTTTCTCTTGTTTTTTTTTTTCTTGTTATGACTTAGAAGATTCCTTTCACTCCTTCAAGATCTGGGTAGGTTTAGACCTACTCAGTATAGGTCTCTATGAATCCAATGGGACAAAACTTAGCTTAATTCTGATTTAAGTACAGCCATTTACAATGAAAATTAAGAGCAGCTATTTTTTGACTAAATCCAATGCAGAAAGAGACTGGTACCTGTTTCAGTTTCCTTAAAGGAAGAAACGTTTTCTGGATAGCTTTCAGAAAACTATAGCTAGATTTGTTGTTATAGGATGAATTCCAACCTGCATGAATTTTATTTGGGTGGAAGCCCAGATCAATCCAGGGAGACTGACCTGAGTAAGCACAGCTTTGATTAGGTTGACCCAATGGTAAAGAAATTAAGGAGGTTTGGGCATCACACCCCACAAATTTAAAGAATATGCTGCAGTGCCAAAGAACCAGTCTTGGGTCAAATTGACCACACATTTGGTTAGCATATAAAAGGGGACTCTAGCTATTCTATCTCATTGGATGGAGTCCAATGGACTTCTCAGGAGAAAAAAATTAATTGGCCCTTTTCAGCCATGCTGAATAGACTTCAAATCTGGGTCCTAATTTTGGAAAATATGAATTTATTATTTATGGGAAGCATCGGGAATAGGGGCAGGGAACTGCCTATTCAATGTTGAAATAAGTAGATGGATCAACAGTTTTCGTTAAAGATAATAAAACTAATCCCAATTTTATTTTTTTCATTATTTTGGACCCTTGACTTCAAATGGACCTCAAAAATAATGAAGAAAAAATAGTTACACTTATCATAGAGTATAGTGGGAATAAGGGATGGCAGCTTAAATGAAAATTTTCTCTTGTTATTAGAATAGTAATAATAATAATAATAATTAGCTGTCTTAAGTTTGACACATTTCTCAAGAATATAAAATGCCTATTAGATTTCTATTGAAAATGCTGAAAAATAAAGAGATTTTGGCAATCTTGTTAAGACATGGGCTATTATTATTATTTTTTAACAATGTTAAAGAACATGTTTTTAACAGATTTATTTTTGCACCTTTGTTGAAAATCAGATGGTGAAACCTTTTGTATGGGCAAATTAATTTAGACTGGCAATACAGAGTAAGAGGTTACCCTGTTGTCAATTCATCACAGGCTTTTTCCTCTTTCAAAGGTGCAGTAAGAATAATATTGCATCTCATGAAGTTGACAATAATCCTTAAAAAGTCAATTCTATAGAATCTTTGTAAATCTTTAAGGTACTCCAGGATTCTTAGCCAACCACATAATTTTTAAATAATTTCTTTTTTATAGTAATTTAATTAAACATTAAAAAGATAAAAACAAAGTTTAAATCTTTAAAAATTGCATAATGTCTAATCCCCTGTTTAATGTCAGCTTTTCATACATTGCAGAGCCATGAAGCGATAGAAACTTTCCCCTTTTTTTTTGCATTGCTTACCAGAAGTAAAATAATTCCATTTGTCACATGTGATGCCTTTGCAACACAGATTAATTTGGGAAAAAATATTTCTAAAGTTCACCTGCGAGGCAGAATTACCCAGTGGGAAAGTCTGCATAGTTCTTTGAGTGACTTTGCCTGTCTTTCAAATGAAAACTTACCTTGAACTTTTTCCCTTCCTTCTCAGTCAATAAAGGCAGTCCAGCTGCAGTAACATCTGCCTGGAGGCGCACAGCAGCTTCTTCTCTCACTTGGAACAGAGTGGAGAAGTCTGCAATGATTCCTGGCCATATATCAGCTGAAGTGAAGACACAGGAAAGGGAGGTGAATAGGGGAAGAGCTCTTGATTTTGCAAACCTGTACATTTAAGAATGAAGACAGAATTTCCCAATAACGATGTTGGGAAAATCCCTTTCTTGTCTGTTTATTGGACAAGGCTTAATCAGGGTTTCTTTTTCTACTCTGGGAGAAGTGCTTTGGTGCCTGCCTGTTCTTGTTCAACCTTTCCTCCTCTATTATGCATTTGAAATATGACCAAACAATGCTCTGACCACAAAAATAATCTTATTTGCTTTTTCAGTCCAGTTGTTTTTAGAAGGAAGGGATTGCTTAGAAAGAAGACTAAGGAGAACACATATTTCTTGCACATTGATATGTGCTGATTTGCATAACAAATTCTCCAGTTCGGTTCCCCTAGGCAGTTGGTGTAAGCCTGACAGCACTCCTGTGCCACTGTATCATTTAGTTCTTATAAAATAAAAAAAAAATGATGCATGACTGAAAAAAGAAAGGAAAATATAGGCTAGAGACTATTAGCATCCTGTGGCATTCTGTGGACAACCAGCCCCCCCACCCTCCCCAGGAACCAATGTTCACCTGTTCCATCAAAGATACCAGACCCAAATGTTGGGAACCCTTCCTGTAGATGCACATTTAGGAATAACCAGTATAGTTTTAAGTAGAAATTCAATGTGATATAAACTGCAAACAACAGGCATAGAAGACAAAGTCTCTCTTCCTTCTTCCTACAGCTCTTCACCTAAACTGCTATTAGACTGCACAACTGTTTAAGGAGCAGATACTTTAAATGGACTGTCTTCCATAAGGTAAGATATGTGGCTTCTATATGTGCTTGCGTGTGATTATTCCTTATTCCAATTGTGTGTATATTCCAATTCCTTTGGTTTATTTACTTACTTTTACTCTGATGTGTTTTGTATTTCACTCTTTGGCCAAAAAACTCAAGATAGAAATTATAGTCCCACTTCTAATTTTATCCATTTAACCACCTTGTAAGATAGATAAAGTTGAATTTTGTGTCTTTGGTCCCTTCAAAAGGCCTGGGTCTTTAGTTATCATGTTTTAAGTATGAATGTTTTTTTTTTTTTTGCAGAAAAATATATACTGTACTTTCCGACGTATAAGATGACTTTCGAAAGCATTGAAATCGGTGCCGAAGTCGGGGGTCATCTTATATGCCTAGTCATCTTATACGCCAGAAATAACGGTAGTTTTCAGCGTATAAGATGACTTTCTAGGCATGCGACTCGGCGCCGAAGTTGGGGGTTGTCTTATACGCCAGGTCGCCTTATACGCCGGAAAATGCGGTAACTGGATAGTATTAAAGTATACAACTTGTTGCAATTGAATAATTAATATCTCCTACAACTGTAATTCTTTTTTCTTACTTATGAATTTTTCATCCAGATTTAAAATGGTGCTTCTTAGGAGATCATAACCACAACTCTGTTATATAACAATCTCCTGCAATCTCATATTTAAAAGAGAGATATGATGTGCTACACTTGGATTGAGTGACATGACTATACCAAGATAATTGTTTTTTGGACAGAAAATACCAGTAATTCTTGATTTACGGCCAGAATTGAGGACAAAATTTATGTCGCTAAGTAAGTAAAATTTATTAAGTGAATTTTGCCTCATTTTACAACTTTTTTGCCACAGTTGCTAAGTAAATCACTGTAGTTGTTGTTAGTAATGTGGTTGTTAAGTGAATGCGGCTTACCCATTGACTTTGCTTGTTAAAAGATCAAAAAGGTGATCACATGACCCCAGGACACTGCAACTGTCATAAATACATACCAGTTGCCAAGCATCCGAATTCTGATCATGTGACCATGGGGATGCTGCAACAGTCATAAATGTTAAAAGAGGTCATAAGTCACTATTTTCACTGCCATTGTAACTTTAAAGGTCACTAAACAAACTGTTGTAAGTTGAGAATTACCTGCATGGTGAAACAGCTACAGTTACACTTCATATTTTGGTCTTTGTGTTTGGAAAAGGACATAAGTCAAGTGTAAGACCATTCACTACAGCAGTTTTAAAAGCTAGATATCAATGATTTTTTTCTTTCTTTTTCAAGATACTGTGTTGTTTTAAAATAGACTATGTTTCAACATGGGTGGCAGCAATTAAAGGAGTGTGCCTGCTATCTATCATTCTGACCTGAAAAAGTGGGTAAAATATAAATTTATTAAACACGTACAAAAATATGTAAAATTCAAAATATACTTGAGGCACTAATATATGTTTGTGTGTGTGTGTATATATGTGTGTGTGTGTTGTGTGTGTGTGAGTGTGCATAATAAATTGTTCTTTGAAGTTCTGTTCAAAAATACCATTTTCACTTTCTTGGAAAAGCAAATAATAATGTTGGTTTCCCAAAATATTATTGTAATTGTTTAAATCAATAAGAAAGTAACAATCTCAGGTGAAGTGAAAACTAAAAATGTGAGCATGCAGTTCCATGTAATAGAATGATTATTTTTCAGGTGAAGTGAAAACTAAAAAATGTGCGTATGCAGTTCCATGTAATAGAATGATTATTAGTAACTATAACTGCTACATAAATAAAGGGATACATAAACTCCTTTTCTCTTGCATATGCACACAGATTTGATCTTATGTATCTGAATAAAGCTACACAAGCAATTATTTGCTGATGCAGATATTCATTAAGGCTTTTTTTAAGTTTAGTGTAGAATTTTGGTTGATTAAACTCCTGTCTTTAAGTGATTAATTATTAATGATTATACATATGCTCGTAACCAGTACATCAACATTGATGACTTTGAGATATTATAAAGAAGTGTGTTTGCAATTTTTTAAAATGTACAACACTTTTTAGTCAGTATTAAGAAAAATGGCTCTCTTTTATAGTTTTTCTTTTGATTGGCTATTACATTAATATAGCAAACTTTTTAAAAATGCTTTCCTTTTGGTCTTTTTGAATTTAAATCTGCCTTCACTAAGTAAAATGTACATTATTTGATGAATCAATTAAACCTTATGTTGATAACATACTGATGCAAGCCTGCAGTGCTAAAAATAATCAATAATTTAAAATATTCTGAAAACTAATTTAGTGATTTACATTTTTATTGTTTAAAGAGTTAGGGTATTGTAAAACTTTATAACTAAAGGTATATTAAAAATGAAACCTGTAAAGTATTTCATCCTTAAAAAACAAACACTGACAAAAGATAATCCATATATGAAAGCAAACATCCCATTCTTATTATATATGACATTTACTATAATATAGTACATCTTGGTATCATTTTGAATGTGCAGATTTAATTTGTAATCTGTTTTTCTTGGCTGGCTGAAAAGAAATTATTTCAGCTGAATATTTCATATCAGAAAGTCTCAATAAATTTGAACCTATAGTCAGTGCAAATATTAATATGAAATATAAAATTGCTACTGTTCTTGGTCACTTGACAATGGTTATATTTTTACTAATCCAAAGCGATGAGATGAAGATGGGGGATACCACCAAAATTGATAGGTTTTAGGCCCTGTTAGGAGAAAATGAGAAAAAAGTTCTATATTTTCTGTTACCATGGTGGAACATAGATTGTCACCTTCTGGATACAATGAGAACTCACCATCCTTGCTCCCAACTTTTGCAGCTCTATAGTTGGGTAGCAATAATTTAAGAACAGTGAGGCTTTTCCAAAATTGGAAATAGGACATGATCAATAATATAGTGTGTGTGCTGAACAAAAATGTAGGACATTTTGACTCCTTCAGATCCTGAAGGATCTGAGCTTTTTAATGCTATTGTACTAGGAGATATATAAAATCTAGTGGAAAACATAGAAAAGATAGTTTGGGGTAGATTGTTTCTCTCTGAAATATTTTCTGCTGCATGTTATACACCAGGCATATCAAACTGCCGGCCCACGGGCCAGATGCATCACACTGAAACTACACCCACCCCATTGCCGGCAATGGGGAAAAAGTCACGATACGTTGCGCGACGTCATGTGACGTCACAAGTTTGATATGCCTGTTATACACAGTCATCAGTGATGACTCAGTGATAACTCTTCAGTTCAAGAGACGAAGCTACATGGTTTAGGGCATGCAAAGAAAATGGCAAGGCTTCTAAACTATTGCTTTACAACATCTCACTATTTTCCCCTTCCACAATGAAATCTTTAACATTGCTTTACAATGGTATCTCATAATATTTCCTAATACAGGACTGAATGTTATATTAACATTTTGGTAGGGATGGAGTTGCTAGGGTACATTTAGAAAGCACAAGCTATGGTGTTTTGTGACCATATGGAAACAAGGAAGTGAGGAAATAGTCAAGATTTTGCTCACAATCTTTTAATCTTTGATCACAAATATTCTCTTCTATTGGTATTTGGTTCACTGTCAGACAGATTAAAACCTATAAATATGTATAAGAATCACAGTGGCAGTAATTAGAGCAAATAGTCATAAAATATTTTGCCTATGACTCTCTCAATTCTAATGATCCGTTTTATGTATCTATGTTTAGGAACAGCAACACAGTGGCACAGAGGCTTAATGACACTGGATGTGCTGAGCAATTAGCAGCACTCCAGTAGTTCAAGTCCAGCTCTGTGGCACTGAACGTATTTCTGTCTCTTGTCCCTAGCTCCTGCCCATTTAAGAGTTCAAAAGCATTGTTTGCAAGTAGATAGATAGAGACCGCCATTTTGATGATGGAAAAATGCTGGCTGAGCTCTGTGTGGGGAGCTGGAACTGGGGCTGGATCTGTTCAAAAATGATCAGCGGAGGATCGGTGGAGGAAAGCCCCAGATGAGCTGACTTCCTCTGAGAACGCTGTAGGCCAGCATGGTGTGAAGGTAGTTCGCCCCCTTGTGTGTATCTGTGCAACAAACAGACTAGTGAAGGTTGGCTGCCAGGACTTCTATCATGTGCATAACATTGTAGTAAATAAGTAAGTAAATAAATAAATAAGTTTAGGAATATATCATGGCCAAAAGAATGACAAATCATGTATGCTTCTATTTTGTCCATAGAGTTGCATCCAGTGGCCCTATTTAGGGTTATCTGGGGAAAGGAGAGAATTAAAGTCCTCTTTGCTACTAATTTTAGGGAAGACTTCTGGAGGTTGTTCCTCAAAACTCTAAAACCAACAACTATATATTTTATGTATTATTTTAAAAAATAAATCATTACTAGGCCTCCATGTTAGACTGTTCAAAAACGTATTTTGTGCCATGATGTTATATCCATGTTGAATTCCACTGTAGATCTCCCAGTTTCAAGAACAATTCTTCTCTTCTGCTATTGCTTTCTCAGGTGATGCCCATGGAAAATATTAATAAGAACTTTCTGTCTTTAAAGATCTTTAGTAAGATTTCTAACTCCTTTGTATTTGATAATTGAGTGGGAAAATTGGTTACAGTAAAATATCCTGTTTTGGGCCAGTCTTCTTACAAAATTTTAAATAGTTAATCTTCTACTCAGGTTTTTATTTCCTTCTTTGTGGGGATTTTTTTTATAACATAGTTTCTGTGAATAGTGGCTCTTCTGAAAGCTTATGTCCAGAAGGTCCTGGCAGGACATAAGGAGGCAGGAGTAGTGCTGGTTTTGAAGCAGGGGTTTTTGTGAATAGTCAGCCTCAGGATTATATTCTAGAGTTTAGACTCTTCCCAGGTCAATGGATCATGCAACTGGAAACAATTCAAGACAAGCTGTACTTATTTCCCAACTGTATGTTTGCTCATTATTGACTAGATTTTTCCAGTGAATTTAATAAATATATAGTTCAGTTAAGGCAGCCAATGCTATTGTCCTTGCTATATTGCCAATTAGTGGTAAGAGTTTGATTAAATTTGCTTTAGAGAACAATTCTACCTCTTCCCCTTTCATATACCGGTGATAATTATTTAGTTGCATTGTCAATAATAAGCAACTCAGGGCTCATAGATACAAGTGTGCTGTGTGTATATCCTTTGACACTCATCAGAGTCATGTCTATTGTAAGTTTAATGTTTTTAGATTCTTTCAATTAATAAATTGTTCAGTTAGATGACAGGACAGCACCTTGACAAACAAACAAACCACCAAGAGGATTTTAACAGGGACAAATGTAAAATCCAAATTTGGGTTATTAAAATCAGAAGTATGAGTATAGGATTGGAATGAGAACCCAAGACAGAAGTACACATCAGAAAGGTCTGATGATCCTGGTAGATCATAAACTGTACATTAATTAATAATATGATGCAGTTGTCACACAACAAAAGAAAACAGCAGTCCTAGTTTATAACAACAGAAGTATAATATCAAGAACAAGAGAGGTAATTCTTTCTCTAAATTGTTTGTTGGTCAGACAGCTCCTAGAATATTGTATTTAATTCTGAGCACATTTTAGGAAAGACACTGACAAGTTTAAGTATATCCAAATGAAAGCAACCAAAATAGCAAGGGAACTGAAAGGGAAAAAAAAAAACTTATGAGGAAGGGATAAAGGTGCAGGATATTTTTAGGCTGCAGAAGCAAAATTGCTGGAAAATATGTTCAGATTTCTTCAGATACCTGAGGAACTGTCACTGAAAAGACAAGGCAGAATTTTCATAGTTGTTCC